CCCAGATATATATCGGGGAGCATCCTCCGGGACCCAGCTATTTTCTTTGAGTAGGTCACGTAGGTCACTGTCAGTGATGACAGTCCAGTCGGTACCCTTGATTCGGCCATCGGCGGTGGAAACCCATAAAGCTCCCTGTTGGATAGCAAGGGCCTTCGAGGATGACCGGGGAAGATGTACAAATGTACCGACGAAGACAATATACGCGGGGGCCATGTTGGGATGTCCCTTGATTCTCTCAGTTTTCAGGGGTACTAACTGAGGTTACGTTGCAATGGGGCCAAGTAGCCAGCTCGAACGGATTAATATGTGACTGGTCAAGGGATAGAAGTAACAAGATACGCTATACGTGTAGGTCGTTTGACTGTGTCCAGACTGCCGCACCATAAGTTAGCATGAATTCTCTCAAATATGAATAGAATGCCATGGATTCACCTTGGATGCTGATGGGTATGTAAAGGAGAACTACAAGGAACCTGTCATCGGCGGAAGCATGACCGTTAGAACCTTAATCTTATCTACCTTACGGAGCACCAATGCACTGTACTCCGACGAGATGGTGCTGCGTACGTTTCAACACTTGAGGGAGAAACTGCTTATAAGGTTGAGATTTCATACAACAAAGGAAATGTTGTCATTCTTCAAGGTTGAGCTCGTTCCAGCTCCACAAGGACCACAACCACATCCCAGATTGGACGTGACCTCGGGTCACGGCCGGTTCCGATGCCAAGAGCGGTTTAGTGCGGAGGAGATAAGATAGCCACACGCACGACAGAAGATCCGGTGGGATTCTGACCACTCCCGAGGCTGAGAGAAAGCAATCTTTTACTTAAGAGCTGAGTCGCTGTCTCACGTGCCCTGATAGCAACTTCCTAATCAAGAAACCCCTGATTAGGACAACCCTTCAGCTCCAGCCCTGATTAATATCAACGTGATCAAAGTTATGCAATGATTGGTTGAACATCAACCGCTGCTATAGCGGCAAGTCTCATTCGCTTTGCTAAATAAAGTCTTTTTTGTACAACTCAAATGCAAATAGTAACCAGAACGCCCCCGAATGTCTATCATGAATGTTGAATCTTGGCGTCGTGTCACCATCATTATGTCAAACCAAAACTCAAGCAACTAAACATGTGTTGAAAAAATGTATCTCACAGGCGACAATAATAATAAACAATCAAACATGGGTATCATAGATCTACTCAGTATCCTCCACAGGACCGCAAGTGCAGAACAGGTTTTGGTCACCGTAAGCTGTGGATGTCCAGGTTAGCTTTGCTCCTGATCAAGTAAGATAGAAATTTAGGGGAAACTTACCATCATCCACCCGAGTAACCGAAGGCCAGAACTTCTTCTCCAAAAGGTAAGGCAAGGGGTAGGCGGCCGTCTCCCGCGTGTACGGGCGGTTCCACTCATTGGACAAAAGATCGCGCTGAGTGTGAGGGGACATCTTCAGCACGTTGCCCTCACGTGGCTGCGCGCCACTCTCCACCTCAGCAATCTCCTGGCGAATAGAGATCAGAGCATCGCAGAAGCGATCCAGCTCCGCCTTGCTCTCCGACTCGGTAGGCTCGATCATGAGGGTGTTGGACACGGGCCAGGACATGGTTGGGGCGTGGAAGCCATAATCCTGGAGACGCTTGGCAATATCGATGGCCTCAACACCGCAAGTCTCCTTGAACTTGCGTACATCGAGGATGAACTCGTGTGCACAACGGCCGTTCTCATTAGTGTACAGGATCGGGTAGTGTTCCTTCAGACGGGAGAGGATGTAATTGGCATTAAGCAGAGTGATCTTTGTCGCGTGGGTAAGACCCTTAGAACCCATCATATTGATGTAGTTGAAGGTGATAGGCAGAATGCTGGCGCTACCCCAAGGAGCAGCGCTGATCGGGGGCGAGGAGGACTCCGTACGCTTAGACTGAAGGTATTCGCTGGCTGGGTGAGACGGCAGGAATGGGCGCAGGTGCTCTGCAACACCGATAGGACCCACACCAGGACCTCCACCACCGTGAGGGATACAGAAGGTCTTATGCAGGTTAAGATGGCAGACATCCGCACCGATCTCGCCAGGGGAGCAGAGACCAATCTGGGCGTTCATGTTGGCACCGTCCATGTAGACCTGTCCACCATACTGGTGCACGATCTCACAGGCCTTCTTGACACCAGGCTCGTACACACCGAATGTGCTAGGATAGGTGATCATAACAGCGGCCAGCTCATCCTTGTGCTTCTCGCATTTGGCCTTGAGATCTTCAAGGTCCAAGTTGCTAGTCTTGGTGTCACACTTAATGGTAACAACCTTCATGCCAGCCATAGCGGCACTAGCGGGGTTTGTTCCGTGGGCAGACACGGGGATTAGACAGATGTTGCGCTTGGACTCGCCCTTAGCCTCCAGATACTTCTTGACGACACGCAGGCCCGCAAATTCACCCTGGGCACCCGAATTAGGCTGGACGGTGACTTCAGCCATACCGGTGATATCGGCGAGTTGCTGTTCCAGATCATCAATCATCTGGGTGTAACCCTTGGCGACATCTGCAGGCAGGAAGGGGTGCATCTGGGAGAACTCGGGCCAGGAGATCGGGATCATCTCAGTGGTTGCGTTGAGCTTCATAGTGCAAGAGCCCAGAGGGATCATAGAGTGAGCCAGAGACAGGTCCTTGGACTCCAGGTGGTGGATGTACCGGAGCATTTCCGTCTCCGAGTGATGGGTGTTGAATACCGGATGGGTCAGATATTCCGAAGTCCGCTCAAGGCTGGCCGGAAGAGGGGAGATACCGAGCTCTCCATCAATGGACACATCACCCTTGGAGGCATGAGAAGCAAACACCTGCAGAATGGACTTGACCTCTTCCCGTCCGCTAGTCTCATCCAGAGAGATACCGACCTTGGTAGAGTTCACGCGACGAAGGAAGATAGACTGTTCGCGGGCAGCAGCGATAATGGCGTCCGCATCTTGGCTGGTGGGCAACTCGACGGTAACGGTGTCGAACACGGCACCGCCATCGGCGACGTTGGTCTTGATCGGAACATTGTAGCCGAGAGCAGCAAGCTTCGCCTGCAAAGTTGAAGTCATGGACATGATGCGTTGAGCAATGGATTTCAGACCAGTCGGACCGTGGTAAACAGCATACATAGCGCTCATGTTGGCGAGAAGTGCCTGGGCAGTGCAGATATTGCTAGTGGCTTTCTCACGGCGAATATGCTGCTCTCGTGTCTGGAGAGCCAATCTTAAAGCACGGTTGCCAAGGCGATCTTTGGAGACACCCACAACACGACCAGGGACCTTACGCTTGTACTTGTCTACACAAGCAAAGAACGCTGCATGGGGACCACCGTATCCCATAGGGACACCGAATCTCTGAGCATTACCGAACGCGATATCAGCTCCAAACTCACCGGGTGCCTTCAGGACGGTCAAGGCCATCAAGTCCGTGGCGACGCTGAAGGTACCGCCGGCGCCATGGATGGTGTCACTCAAAGCCTGGAAGTCATAGATGCCACCCTCGGTATCCGGATATTGAGCAAGCACACCAATGAGGTTGTCGCCTTGTTCCTTCACCAACTTGAAATCATCCGCCAGAACGTCACCGATAACCAGGTTAATGCCGAAGCCCTCGGCGCGCGAGCGCATCACGGCGATGGTCTGAGGGTGGCAAAGATGGGAAACAACGTAAGCCTTACCGGGCTTCTTCTGTTTCGAAGCAGGCATAGTAGCAAAAGACATGGTCATCGCCTCGGCAGCAGCAGTGGCTTCGTCCAAAACGGAAGCATTGGCGAATGGCAAGCCCGTCAAGTCGGCAGTCAATGTTTGGAAGTTCAGGAGTGACTCCAGACGACCCTGGCTGATCTCGGGCTGGTAGGGGGTGTAGCTGGTGTACCATGCGGGGTTTTCCAGAACATTGCGGAGGATCACCGGAGGCACAATTGTGCCGTAGTAGCCAGTTCCAATGTATGTCTTGCCAGAAACATCGATTTGCTTCCGGTAGACATCCAAGAGCTTCAGCATATCGGTTTCTCCGAGACCACCACCAACATTGTCCCGGTACAGATTCGTTTTGGCGTGAGGATCGGTAACCTTCAAGTCCTTCTTGGACAGAATGTCTGCGGGAAGCACCTGTTTTACGAATTCGTCGAGAGACGCCACTGGGGGGTCAAGGGTGGCCAGCATGTCCTTTGCGGCATCTGGCGAAGGGCCGATATGACGTCTGGGGAAGGTGTCAAGGGGCTGGAAGAGGTCGCGTGGATGAGGGTCACCATGGTCAGCTACTGAGCTTGTGTAGACCGGTCGTCGTGACGGCTGCTGTGTAGCTGTGTGCAGGGCGCGGTAGGTTGCGCGGAAGGGAGAGGACGGAGAAGCTCTGCGGAGTGCGATGGGGGAAGGGGTAGGGTGCAGGCGAGTCCGAAGAGCAAGCTGGCGAGAGCCACGGAGGGCGCACCAGGATGCAGCCATTGTGATATGTGTGAGATGCCAACGGACTGCGGTGTTCAATGGTTTTGGCTAAGCCAAGGGATAGGAATACGTGTTGATCTTAGTAAATCCCCGGCGATAGCTCAACACATGAGACAGTAGGAGGTTGGATAGATGAGGGGAGAGGAATACAATGAAGAACAGGAAGACAAGATTTAAAAAAGAAAAGAATGCAAGAAGGCTCTAGGGAAAAACTTATCCAGCAAAGTCATACAATCTATGGATTCCTTCGGCCGGCAAGAAAACCGCGGGCGATACGGACAATCACGGAAAACTGTCGATAACCCGATAACGCTGCCGCCCGAGCCAATGATAACACGACAGTGCTCTGCGGTCCCTTGGGAAGTTGCCCCGCAAGCGCGCCAGTAAACCGCGCTTGGCTTCTCCGCGACCGATAAGAGATTATTTTCCCGCGGGAAAGTCTTAGCTTATGGTCTTGGTCAAAGACGCGGGGTCGGAGATTTCTGTATTTCTTCCTGTTGTCTCTACCTCTAATAGCTTTATTATAGTATTCTTTGGTTATTACGAGTTTTGAATCGAAATGCGTTAAATCGACCTGAACATGTCAATACAATATGGATACGGCTTTGATTGCTAATCTGAGCAGCGCTCGATTCTCCGGAAGAGTCATATAGGAGACCCTCCACAGGTTCTTTCCGATCCGATGTGGTCCAAGCTCGGAAGCAACAGTCGGGCTATTTATACATGCTATGACTAACGAGGGACTGTAACTAGTTAAATTACAGTGTACAGTGTACACGATATGGACGGTCTGGACCCGCCATCTCGATATTTGTGCTATGCGGGGTTTTACAACGATCTACTTTGTGCGACCAGGTTTATCCCTCGAGGCCCTAAATAAAGAACAAAGCACATTGTCGGTACTCGAACGCAACATTGCTCAATACCTCTGCATATTTATCATCGGCTAAATAAACCACTCGTTGAGATATATACAATGATAACGAAGGAGATAGCCACCGGAAGAGAAAGGAGAAAAGGGAAAAACAATAATCAGTGTTATGCGCTAGATTATATCGTATACCGAAACTCTGGAGACCCCTCGATGACGCGCTCCCCACGGTCCGCTTCTCTGTTTGACCGGCGGAACCACAAGCTCAGAGAGGCCACGATTATTAAAATGAGGATATTGCTTCTGCAGGGCGCTTAGTAACTCAATGCGGCAAAAGCTTGACTTGAGAAAGGACAAGTACTTACGCAATAGTAGTCCACATGCCCGGTCGGTATCCAGGTGCATCTTGGGACCTAAACACCAAGCTACTCACAATTCCTCCGATACCACCAAAACCCACCAACGTAGCACTAGATAATGCACGGGTCCATTGACCACGAACGTTGTTCGCTTGATATGCCATACAAGCTGGGATGTTGGAGTTGGCACCGGCCACGGAGAAGAATACGCCCACGTACCGCGCAGCATTGCCTTTCGCAAAGCCCATAATAGGAAGTCCGATGAGACAGAGTAAGGCATTGAAGATGACGATTGCTCCTCGTAGACGATATTTGTCACCAATCCAGGCGGTAGCGTACATTACCATTCCGGCGAACACATAGGGTGGCGCAATTAAACATTGTGCGGCAGCGGTACTAAACCCCATACCCCGTTCAAGGATGATCGGAAGGAAGTATGCGATGGCATACGTGACAGTCGTAGTGCAGCTGTTGCATGTTAGGGCATTGCGGAGAGAACGAAATGCATTCGGCACGCCTTACAAGAATATCATTGCAAAACCCCAGATCTTCAGGTCGAGGGCAGGTGACAGGAAGCGCTTAAGAGAGAAGGGCTCCTGGTCTCCATCGGAACGATCCCGGTTGATACGGCGGACGATGAACGCGCACTCTTTCTCACTAAGAAACCTCCAAGACTTGTGCGCCTTATCAGGGAAGTCCACTAGAAAGATGATGGTCAGGATGCCAATCACCCCTGTAATCTACTAGGATTAGCAATTGAGTTCGTTTATAGAAGAAGCGTACATACCACGCCTTCCATGATAAAAATCCATCTCCAGCCCGCCAGATCCTGAAGCCCGCCCATCTGCATCAGCCCAAAAGCTAGAATACCAGACAATGCCGACGCCACGCAGCCGATCAAGTAGAATACCGAGAACCGTTTTTGCACGTCAACTATCCCTGTCAGTGCTTGGGAGTAGCTCGTATAGTAGGTTTATACTCACACCGAGTGTACCAGCTAGACAACAGATATACACAACCGGGAAAGTAACCTATATCGAATCCGATTAGCTTCGTATTGCTAGGCACTGGATTATTGGGTTTGAGGAGATTACCTGCTTCAAGTATACCCAGCAGTGCACGGGTTGCGACCATATGCTTCCAATTCTTTGCGAACCCCATGCCCTTTGAAACAATATCAATAGGTTGTTCGATGGTGATCATTCACCCACCAGTGTGTTGAGCGACTTACAACTAGTATTGCCCCCCAAAGAATGACGATCGTTCCCAAGAAGTAGGTAGGGCCTACCTTCCGTGTTATAATTGTCATAGGCGGCTGGAAGATCACGTAGGGAACGAAGAAGATGAGGACCATAACGGACTACTGATGTTAGCGACAGGCTCAAAATGTATGATGAGAATGTTCAGACACACATATCGAGTTCCAATTGTCAGGCCTAGGTCCTTGGTCATGCTATGGGCGACCAATCAATGAATCATCCAATTGAGGAGATGTCCCACTACACCGGGGAAGCTTACCCCGCGACAGCAGCCATGCTCAGATTTGTCCTGTCCATGAGGGACACACAATATGCTAACCCGGTAATGGTGACAAGGCGTCTATCCACCCGGTGGATAATCTTACGCTGCTCTGCGTATGTGTATTCTTCGTCGTAGTCAACATCATTCAGGGCAGGTTGATTGATATCTTCAATCCTGGTGTCTGCACCAGGATCCTTTTCGCTGCTGGGATATGACATGACTGATTGATTGTTCGCTCCTCAAGTGCGGTCTGGGAGCAAAGAAGGAAGGGTGGTGGGGTGTCGAGAGGAAGAGGGGCACAGAGGACAACCGCGCAGATATAGGATTATATAGAGGCGGTCTGGTGTGTTTGTCTCATATTCAGTACCCAGTTAAACTTTTGAACACAATTACCTCTTCAGTGTGTCACCCGTTAGTTGCACAACACCGGACGGTGAAGACCCATTGAAAAATGCGCTATAGACGCCATCTTTCGTGCCACCAGGCTGGAGGCGACAGGAAACCAGGATAGCCGACTTGAAATCGCCATATTACCTCGGCCTTGGGAAACAGATCGCTATCTCAATTGGAAGACAGTGACCTCCCCACATTTCCCCAGCTTTTTGTGCTCGAGAAAGTGGAGTGAGAATGATGCGGGGGTGTTGAGCGATTGACATCAGGACTTACTTGGCAGCTTGGCATAGTACATCCAGCTATCCTCATTCGCTCTGGGATCAGACACTTTGCTGGAACCTCCGGAGTCGCCGTGCGAGCAGTCGAGATCTCGGAGACACCCCAACACTTGTTTTCTGCGTCTGGCTCTTTGTTCTCTGGATCGCATGGTTCTTCCCACACCAGCACAACGGCACTTCTTCCACTGGGTCATTCACCAGAAACCCCGTATCATCCCGCGTGGTCAAGGATTGTGGCTGGATGCGGGCCAATCCCAGGCCAACGCCCAGATAGGTTCGAGACTGGACTATCTCGGAACTAAAATCCCAATGTGGAGGATCCATATGCGCGGATTAACTCCGTGTCCTGGTCAAAACAAATCTCGGGGGAATTTAGACTTTTAGCTTGCGTCTCGTGGAAACTCTCGCAGAAACTCTCGCACAGATCATACCTCGTCAAGATTAGCTCATACAGTTCGAAAAAGATTGAAGAAATATCAACGAAAACAGTACTCGAGCATCTTCCTTATTGTTTTCGGCCATCGTCATAGGCCTCCCAGCCCGTCTTAGAATGGGGCGTGGGTTGATTGGGGGAGGGCTAAGCTGACTCAGGCGAGCAGCGAGACGTCGAATGAGATATACTCTTCATGGGGGATGTCCGTGTGCATAGTATGGTGTACGCCGTATTGGGCTTGCTAGGATTTCGTTAGTGGATACGCCTAACGGCCCTAAGAATCTGAGCAGAATCCTTTGAATCTAGCTTCGGCTCTACAAGTCTCTACTGTGGAGCTCAGATGTCTGCCTAGGAGTTCAATTGGGAGATGACTCAGTATAGAGTCAATCGACTTGTTCGGGTCTATCTGTGTTTTACCATCAATAGCTGCATTGCAAAGAATAGCCGGTGCCCGGTGGTGCCCGGGTGGCGTCCTTCTTCCAGCAAGCCAAAGTGCAAGACAACCGCATTTACTGCTTTCCTTCCCCAATGTGAAAACAGGCTAGGTAGGTCATTACTGCCACATGCGTCGTGACAATACATTTGTGAGGTACGAAGTAGCTTTGGCTAGAAAGCTTTCAAAGCGGGGCAGGGATGGCACGTAAGGTTTGATAGCACCAGGGTTTCTGATCCAAGTATATAGAATCTCACGTAATGCAGCATGCAGGGATTCCAAGCTAACTCCACAAGCATCGTTTAATTTCAGTGGGTGGCATGGTTCTGCAATAAAGAGCCTCGGCTCAGCCCTGCCATACGGATCGAAATATTTTATGATTGGTTTTCTAATGAGTTTGGTTCAAGGTCAGTCGCCCTTTGATTGGGATCGTTTCATTCCATTAGTTAACCTACTCGCCACAGTATATGTGTAAAGGTCATCACGCTTCAGTGCCTCCCAACAATGCTTGGAGATTAAGCATTGGTAGCTCAAGTCAGCTATCTACCTGGGGATGCTGTTGATATACTCAATGCCATCCTCTCGGTATGTGTCAGCCTCGATATAACTTCCATCCTTAGGCAGGCGGAACACGAAGTTCGATGTTTCCTGAGAATACTGCGGCCATACGGGAATATTTGCAACTGTGTATGTTAGATCTCTATCTTTATTTAATCTACGAAGATTAATATATCAGGCACATACCATTATGCCCATTGGGGTCTAAATCGGCAACAAACGAGGTCCACATTCGAGCGGCCAGGTTACCAAGCTCAAGACGGGCGGGATCGTCTCCCAGTGGTGTGATATTTTGGACCGGATTGGCGAATACAAAGGGAATCTAGGTTTCTGTCAGTACTATTCAGGAGCTCAGTAGTTAGTGGTAAACCCAGACACTCACCTCCGCGAAGTGACCCACTCCAATAGTGCTGGATGTATTCAAAGCAGGCACATCCCACCTATAAGAGTAAACCTCGTTTTTATACTTGGCCATATTTTGTGCGAGGAGCCGCCTCGGTCCGACCATGGTAAGATCGCCTGCCATCGACTCATATCGCTTATACATGAGTCCTAGATCTGGCCATGTGGTATTTCCCCATCCGTATGGGCATCCCAGGGCAGGGTCATTGGGATAGAACGTAAGAAGTTTGGTGGCTTGCTCACGATCAAGCACCCAGCGTTTTGATGCTACTGCTGTTAGTAACTCTCTAAATTGGTGATTGCTGACACTCACAAATAAGCTGTTCAATACACTCATCGTCCGTATTCGTCCCTGTTGTACCGAAACTAGTTCCCTCGTCTGTGTTTGTTCCCAGGAGGATGGGCACTTTGGCCATGTTCCCTTGCGTGATGCTTATCTGGGGATACTCCTTGATGAATGTACCATCGATCGCTGCGAACCACTCTAGTCCTTCATATGCTGCATCGTATAGTGTTTCATATGATACATCGCGTAGGCATTGAAGTGTGTCTGACGAAGAAGAACAGCTTTTACCTCATTAGCTGACTCTCGAAAGATGTTAGAGATAAACATACCCCGTTGCTTTCACAATGCGATCGTACATTGGCTGGTACCAGTCTGTCCCATTCCAGGGTGGCCCGTTGGCATTTCCGGACTCCATGATTGCTATTGAATCAGAATATTGGGCCAACAGTAAGAACTGAGACGAAGCTCACCTGCTCGGAAAAGGCCTTCATTGTCCCCGTCATTCGCAACCAAGTGCGCCCCAACGCTATAGGCACCCCTGTGGTCGTCAGTACTCAGTAACCCATGTCTAGATCCACTCGTTTCTTACGCAGACTCCCCCCAGATCGTGACCTTATCCGGATCTCCACCAAACGCCTCGATATTCTGTTTCACCCACCGCATCGCAACTCGCTGATCTCGAAGAGCAAGATTGTTATTTCCGGAAGCCTAAGCCGTCAGGCCCAATTGCACAACCAAGTAGATGGCTAATGACAGTTGAAAAGCTTACCCGAAGCTCCTCAGAATCCAAAAGACCAAAAGCTGCCAATCGGTAATTAATCGAAACTCCCAGGACAGGTTTATCGTTCAACGCGCCCTGACGAACAATGTAACTCATATTGTACCTGCCAGACAAATACAATCAGCACCGCACCAAGTTTTTAGCATGTAGTAGCTTACCTCGGGTCCGCCGTTGCGCCCTGTTGCCATCCACCTCCGAAAATCCATAACATGACCGGGAGCAGTTGAGTCTCGTTGGGCTGTAGCTTAGGCCGAATAATGTTCAGATTATGGCAATCTTCGTTCAGTTGTATCAAGCCCATGTCGACCAGTTTGGTCTCATCGGACCCGTATCCAGGGCATTCGTAGCCGTATTCTGTAGCATTGTAAAGTACCGCCTCCTGGGATATGTTCAAGTCATCTACTGAGGCCGTATATAGCCCAGAGTCACTATCGCTGGCAGTATAAACTGTCTTCAGAGATGATGGGGTGAACCGGATAGGTTTATCTGCGTATTTGACGCCGAGAAATAACTCCTGGTCGAATTCGGGCAGAGAACGACCGACGAAGACGGTTTCTGTTTGTGAATTGCTCGATTTTATGGTAGCCACGGGTGGTGATGGGTTTTCATCAGCTCGACTAGCTTTCAATGGACCTGGAAGAGCAGAAACAGACACCCCAAGGGTGAGAGCTCCCCAGAGCAGCTTCTGGTAATGGCAAGCCATGATTTCGTGGATGGCACAATTCGCTTCACACAAAGCCAGGCATCTCAAAGGCATATATGATATATTACGATGGCGATTACCACAACTATATTAAAACGAATTTCTCCGAGTGGTCCATCATATCGACTGCTTGCGGGGCCTGGATTTCAGAGCTGGTCAACAGTAAACGATCATTCGACAATCTATGCCTGGCTAAAATTTCTCTAAATCGGCCAAGAGAAACGGTCGGATAGTCATTGGACCTGGCAATGCCCTCGATGAGATACCATGGAAAGTGGATTATCTGATTGAAGTGCAAAAACATTTCCACTAATAAGAGATCACATATCTTCTAAAGCCTCACTTAGTAGCTGAGAAGCCAACATCGAATATTCCACCAATTAGAGCATTTGCTTTTCTGGGGTAATTAGTACTGTGGTCATCTCACTCTACCCCACGGCGATCAATCCCTCACTAGTTTAGCACTCCGCCGGCTTCTAGTGTAGCGCTAAATCCTCAGCTTTCATCTGTTCTACAGGATTACATCCTGGATTCTTATTACGTATCTAATTCCTTATTCCTCTTAAGCTTTTCTGGCTCACTACCGGAGCATACAGTATGCATACAACATCTGCCATATGATATCATCTTTCACCTCGCGTTTACTGACAAATGACTACTACAAAAATATCTTCAAACATACAGCACCCCCTATATGTCGCGAAGTTTAGTTGATCTTTTAGTCATATATGCATTTTCACATCATATTACAAAACCTAGCCTCCTTGCTGTCGCGCTCTCAGCAGTGAGACATACTTCACATACGGAAACATCAACTATGTCTGCAGATACGCGCTCTTCCACCGTCAAAACCTCAATCTATATCCGCTGCACAGACATAGTAAGGCTGAAATGAGAAAGAGGCACCCCATTTCATACATTTACCAAGCAGCAAGCAAGCCAAAGTGTGAGCCCACAAAGCAGGAAACATGTTCTATAGTATGCACCTTCCTTTCGATACTCCCCCTCTCCACGGTTACCTGCTCTTCTCCCGGGCTAACCTCACCACTACACAGAAGCGATAGTCGACCAACCCTTCTACGTACCTTCTAGAGACAGAGAGAAGAAAAGAAACCCCGAGATCAGATTCTCATTACCCTACACAAGACAGAGAAGATCGAGAGCTCACCCTCAACATGACCCTACCAACAGCCTCCCCCACTCACTCCCTCTTTGGCTCTTTAGAGGATGTCTTGTATCACACTACTACTAATAACTTCAATGAGGTCAGTTCAATATGTCTCAAGTGCGGAGGTCCTCCCGATATAGACGACAGTCTCCGGCCCTAGTTGTGTTTCTCAAAGAAGATATATACGCTTGTGGTGTTGGTGTTACTCTTGACTGTATCCAGTACGTTAATATTTGGTAGCAACGGCAGCATCAAAATGGGCAAACCAGTGAGGCCAGTAACGCGGTAGCCAAGAAAAAGGGGAGAAGGAAGAAGAAGAAGAACAGAGGAAAAATGGTAATTTTATCATTCGGCGCACTGAGTATCTAAGATTTTTACAAGTACTAATTCTCTTGATAAAATGCACAGCTTTATCAACTGTTTCGTCCAACGCCCCCTGAGCCACAACCCCTTTCTCAGACCGCAAAAGCCATACGGCGAAGGCGTCAGCGCGCTAGGCGGCGTTTGAGGTTTGTATGGACAATGATATACTAAATATGCTGTGGATTTGAGTACGCTAACCTGTTTCTATTAGAAGCAGGTCAAAAAAGAGAAAACAAGATTGGGATGGATAATGAGAGAAGCAAGAATCAGAGAGGAGGCAAGACGACAAGAGGAGGAAAGACAGGCATGTCTCATGAGTCTAGAATATGAATCGACTCGCATACAACAGGCCGAAGCGTATATGTTTATCAACTGTTGAATCTTCATCACGGAATGTTTTACATTTATACTTTATAGCTTAGATTTAATTCCCACTAGTTGAAGTGCTGTGGGCACTTGCCTGAGACATCGCAGATCCACAACACAAACTTTTACGTGACTTGAAACTACGTACGATATACATTTTCACGTGTTAAGCCCTGAACCAGGATGGAGCTTCCTTCAATTCGAGAGAGATTCTGTAGAAGAGATCCACATCGTGTCCGGGACTCAGTGTTCTTGTTAGGGCATCGTTAGGCTGTTACCTTACCAATAAATAGGGGCGCATCCCCGTTTTTCTGGAATTCTCTAAAAAAAAACCCTAATGTAACCCAACCACCGGTGTTCTGGATACACTATCGATTTGGAAAACTTTGTGGATTATTTCTATTTCTTTCTTTTTTCTCTCCGAGATACCTCGAATGGTCGCAAATTACTCATGCTTAGAAATATCTCACTACCGAGGTATTACAAAAGGAAAACAAGATGAAAAGTGGGACGCGAAGAAACAGAAGAGTGCGAATTCTGCATAATCTATTACCCTAGAATAACTCGTAGTGTCGTACAGCATGTATTACTTTCTCTACACGATATGTCTCTGGTCCGCCTCCTGTTGTCCATGGAATATGGAGACTTCGGTGGTCACTCCGATACTTTTAGGCGATGACTGTCCCGGGCCACTTGGGGGGATATTAGTCTCCGAGCCCATCATCTCATAGTCTTCATACCCGTTCTTGGACCAAGATAGTAGGCGCTTACTGTCTCTAGCCCTAGACTTTAACCCGGATGTAGGCTTCGATTGACTTTTCATATTAGACCGGTTGCGCGTCGAAACCGTATACTCGGTCAGATGAGTGAAGATGTTCCCAAATACTGGCTTCAAAGCCGGAACAGACAGCGCGATCAAGGTGCCTGCAATCTCGGCATTCTCGATGCCCATCATGGGATTGTAGGCCCAACTACCGTCATCAGCCCATTGGCCCACTGCGACAAAGTAAACCCGGACGGCGGAAATGACAATGACACTGTTCCAGTTTTGTTAGATCTGGTGGAGATATAGTGGGAATCGATAAGCCTTACAGAACACCTGGAAACATAACGAGAGAGAGTTGGGCCTTCCTTTTGAGGGAGACGTGGAGTTTCTTGATAAGGATCGTCGGGATGATAAACATGAGCACATCGCAGGTCAATGAAACGCCGGAGTTGACGGAGTAGACCAGACCCCAAGTAAGACAGTTATAGCTGATTGGTTCTTCCTGCCAGGGGTAGGGCCATAGGCCTGTTACAGGTCGACAGTGGAATATCAATAGAAACAGCTGGGGAAGATATGCGGCGAATAGGAAGCCGGCTGCAATCTTGATCACAAGGTGTAGTTTGCTGGAGCGTGCAGCCAGGCGGTGGTAGAAAGCCAACCCCGATAATCGACAAAAGAACAGAGCAGTGGTGTAGAGGATGTGCGCAACGAAATCTAGAATCTCAGTCTGACGCACCGTGGGCATCGCCAGGACATACTGAATGTAATCCATATGGCGACCACTCCCCAAATAAATTAGAACGAGAGACAGAACGACAAAGGGGATGTAGATCATCTATATCGGGACTAAAGGTTAATTCCAGTTCTGTCGTCGTATCTGATAATTTGTCCCGGGTGATCATACCATCGTGAGAATGGCCAAAGCATCGTCGAGGCCGAGTTTCTTGACAAGCCATATCCGTGCGTAGAGCCGCACTATCATGATCACCCCGGTGAAGCATACCAGGAATATGATGGCCACAATGGTCGGGCGATCGCGCGACTCGGCGAGGTACTCGAGCGACATCCCAGAAGGGATCTTCCCCGCGGCATCCGCGAGGAGAATGTCGTCGGGAATGCCCATGGAGAATGATCCACAGAAAGCAGGATTGGGCCTCACTCAGCGGGACGTGCGTGCCATCTTAAAGGTAGGCGTGTCGTGTCCATCCAACAAAGGCAAACCGAGTTGTTTCATGGTGAATGAAGGACGCAAACACTAATAAGAGAAAAATTGCCTCCGTTATAGAACTTTAACCACGTTCTGATAATGGCTCGCACTGCCCAGAAATGGGCCTTGTGTCAAATCAGCTCCAACAATGACTTTGAAAGTCTGGTTGCGGTGGATACTGAGTGACAACGAGTGAGATCCCGCAGAGTACCGAAGCTGTGGGCTTGACATTTGGCTTGCATCGTATGGGCTGATGGTGGAGGTTGTTGCCTCGTGTAGCGGATAATCTGATTGCTAATTAACTTTGGTTCGGATTAATAAAAATAACTGAGGTTGCATCGAAAAATTCTGCAGTGGAGATAAGGAGACCAACGATGATTTGTCTCTTTTCTTCCCCCTGAAGTTAATCTCTCAAGTCCGACGATGGTTGTTTTTGCTAACCTGCAGGATCAACCCAAAATACGATTGGAACACCTGAGGTTAGAGACATCACGGTAGTGGCGCACATGATTTCTCGACTAGCCTGATTTGATCGGATCGAGATCCATCATATCTCAAACCAACGTTCCAAAAGTCGCGAAACAACCAACACCATCACCCCGATCGAAGAGTGGAGGATTTTCCACACTGGTTCGGCTGTTAGTGCCGCTGCTTCTCCGCTTTGGTTCGCTCTCATCACTGCCAGTATTAAACTATTGCTTGTAGCCTTGTCCAGGTGGAACTAGTTCGTTAATGACCGCCACGACCTTCTCAGATGAGTATATGAACGTGGAGTTGTGGAACGAACCAAAAACGCTCCGCCTCTGACATTGCTTCCCCCCTTGCGCGCGATCGACCCCTGATCAAAAAGGTCGATCTTCCCCCGTTTAAGGCGGTTGTTCCTACCAAACACCAATTTTTCATCATCGTGCAACCATCATGGTCTCGAAACTGTTCGGTCGGCTTTTGACCACCGGTCTTGTGTTAGCAAACTCTGTTTCTGCCAACACTGAGCCGTACGATCACGATGGTTTGGTTGCAGCTCAGATTGTGACTGACCCCTATGAATATGATTTCCCTGCCTTAGGCGCCAACGGAGCCTCCCTCTTCCCCATGCGTTTGTGCAATGGCTTCAAGCTAGAGGAAGCCAGCATCGACGCCATCCAGGAGCAACTCGAAGCTGGGAGTCTCACCAGCGTTGACCTCCTGCAATGCTATCTGGAGCGCATTTACCAGACTCAGTCTTATTTGAAGTAGGTTTTCCTCATCTACCTGTATTTAATATCTCTTCCCACTGACGTCACCACCAGTGCGGTTTTGCAAGTCAACCCGGATGCTTTCAAGATAGCGAAAGCCCTTGATGAGGAACGCGCGCAGGGAAAGACCCGCGGCCCGCTCCACGGCATCCCATTCATCGTCAAGGATAACATCGCTAGCAAGGATCGTTTGGAAACCACTGCGGGTAGCTGGGCACTTCTGGGCTCTGTTGTGCCCCGTGATTCCCATGTTGTCCACGGCCTTCGTAAGGCCGGTGCTCTCCTCCTGGGCAAGGCTGCCCTGAGTGAGTGGGCCGACATGCGTTCGAACAACTACTCTGAGGGTTTCACGCCCCGTGGAGGTCAATGCCGCAGCGCGTACAACCTCACTGTCAACCCTGGTGGCAGCAGCTCCGGGTCTGGCGTCGGCGTTGGTGCCAACCTGATTCCATTCGCCCTGGGAACGGAAACCGATGGCAGTGTCATCAATCCCGCTCAGAGAAACTCAGTCGTCGGCATCAAGCCAACTGTCGGTTTGACCTCCCGTGCTGGCGTCATTCCTGAATCTCTGCACCAGGATTCCGTTGGTACTTTCGGCAAGACAGTGCGCGATGCAGTCTATGCTCTTGACGCCATCTACGGTATTGATCCCCGCGATAACTACACTCTCGCCCAAAAGGGAAAGACCCCCGAAGGCGGCTACGCGCAGTTCCTCACCAACAGGACTGCCCTCAAGGGCGCCACATTCGGTATCCCCTGGGAATCCTTCTGGGCCCTTGGTGACGAGGATCAAATCTCTCAACTCCTTGAGCTGGTCGACCTGATCAAGCAGGCCGGTGCCACCGTGATCAACGGCACTGAACTGCCTCACTACAAGACCATTGTCTCCCCGGATGGCTTCGACTGGGACTACGGCTCGACTCGCGGATATGCCAACGAGTCCGAATACAGCTATATCAAGGTCGACTTTTACAACAACCTCAAGGACTATCTATCTGAGGTCGAGAACACTAATATCAAGTCTGTCGAAGACCTCGTCCAGTACAACCTCGACAACTACGGCTCCCAAGGCGGATACCCAAGCATTCACCCGGCCTTTGGCTCCGGCCAGGACGGTCTGATCGCCTCTCTCGAAAGCAAGGGTATCATGGATGAGACCTACTACCAGGCACTCGGATTCTGTCAGCGCACCACCCGCGAGGAAGGAATCGACGCCGCCCTGAAGTACAAGAACGGAACCCTGGACGGCCTCCTCGTGCCTCCGGATGTTGCACAGAGCATCCAGGTCGCCGCCCAAGCTGGGTATCCCGTCATTACCGTTCCGGCCGGAATTGGAAAGGAATCTGGCATGCCTTTCGGGCTGGCTATCATGAACACGGCTTTCTCGGAGCCTACCCTGATCAAGTACGCTAGTGCTATTGAGGATCTGCAGAAGTCGACTGGAACCAAGTACCAACGCTCTCTTCCTGAGTGGCGTGGCTATTTGACTCGCAACCTCCCTGTGATTATGTAAATAGATTAAGAGATTAGGTGTCGGATGGGAACACCGGTATATCTGCTTTCTTAGATGATAGACATCATGTAATATTTGGTTAGACTTCTCATAGACTATGTATGTCTTGATACATACTATTTGACTTTCATTCACTTTCTTGTTATTTTTTCTGTCTCTGTTTAGACATTTGAAATGTAAACCCTGTAGTTAACATCCAACAGTCTAAAGTCACAGCAGCGCGGTATGCAAGCACCAAAGATTCGGCTCTCATCCCATATATGTATCTCCAATAACATCGAAAGAAGAGAAATCTATTGGTTGAAATGTTTGGTCAAGGGTTTCCAAGGCTACCACCTCGATACATCCCTCCCAAAAATACTATTCAACACCCACCGGAACGCAATCCGCAACTTATTCCTCCAACTCATGCTCATAGTCAAATACGCTAATTTCCACACAAGCCAGGCCCTCCGTCCTGTCAAATACTTAGGTGGTTTGCTAACCTCAGTAGGAAACTGCATCAACGCATTGGCATCTCCAATGTACGCCAGAGTGCCCATATTACGAAAAGAGAACGGTTCGGATCTCTGAAGGTCGCCCTTGTTCAGCCTAGTAGCGAGCCACTTCGCTTCCTGGGTCGTCGCCTGCGCTGTCGCGGGTGGTGCACCCGTTTCCGGCATGGCGTTGTCACCCAGAGCGAAGACGTCCTGGAGGACAGCGGTTTTGCCGTCGGCGTTTTCTAGTTGGACGCGGAGTTGGCCGTCGACGAGGAGGGCACCCATTTTGGGTGCCTTTTTGATGTGCCATGTTGTGTCTTTTGCGAGTTCCGGGGGCGCTTGGGTGCCGTCTTTCAGCAGGGCTGATGCGGTGGGGAATGTTTCCACGTCTTGGAGAGCTGTCTTGACGAACTTGTTCATTGCGTTTCCGGTTCCCCAGACGCACATCCCGATGCCTACTTCGCCTTCTTCTTTGGTTGTGATTGTGAGGCAGTGTCTGGGGTCCATTTCGTAAGGAGGTTCGGCTCCTGGCGCACCCCAGCGAAGTCCTTCTACGTGGTGCGAGGTTTTGATGTCGATGCCTTCTTTCTTCATGGTCTCCATGGCGTACTTTGATAGGGATTCATCGAACATAGAGAGCACCTTCGGTGCTACATCGTAGAGGGTGATGGTGGGGAGACCTTTCACGGCAGGATATAGTGCCGTCATATCCTTGTAGATAAAGTCACGGAGGGATGCCGCTAGCTCAGTCCCTGTCGGTCCAGCACCGACAATAGCAAAATGCAGCAGCCATTTCCGCATCTCCGGAGTCGTGGTCGGTAGCACCGCCAGCTCGAAGCATTCTCGGACCCGACGTCTCACGCGTCGCGCATCACCAATATCCTTGAAGAACATGGCATTATGCCTCACTCCGGGGGTGTTGAACGTCTTGCTGACTGCACCAACGGCGATGACTAGTTTGTCATAGGGAACCTCGAAGAAATCTCCCTTCCCCGGGCCTTTTTCAGACTCCCTTTCATACTCATGGGTCCGTGGCGTTTCTGTAACGCCTCTCGAGACTACGGTTGACTCACATAGAACAGTTTTCTTTTCCAAGTTGACAGCTCGTGCAGCGGCCTGGATGAAATCGACTTTAGCGTGAGGATCCCGAACTGGCTCCACGATGTTTGAGAAATCCAGCGACCCGCCAGCAGCGTCAGTCAGAAGAGGAGTAAAGACAAAGTATGAGCGAGGGGAAATAACGACCGGGGAGAACGACTTTGGCGACAATTTTCGGGAGAGGGTATATCCTCCCCAACCGGATCCAAGAATGACCACTCTTTCCTTCCCGCTGTCAGATTCAGGAACTGCCGCCGAATGGTCAACCTGCGTAGCCAGACATCTTTGAGACTGTACAAAGCTCGAGCGACCCACTCGGCATGTACTTGATAGCAAAGGCCGGGATATCCGTCCGAGACGGACAGGGCTATTCACAAACATCGACGTCATTTCCAGTATACAGATTTCAGAGCCAGTCGCTTTAGAGGAAATTGCAGACGACTGACGTTTCATTCGAAGAACTTATTATGTAGTTGTTTAAGGTTTAACGATTGAATGGATCGGCAATGCAAAAGCACAATGACTGGCTCTGAAGACATGATGACCTCATCTCTTCAGCGCATAGAAACAACAATGTTAAGCGAGCCTCCGCGCCCGAGTCCCTCCGAAAGAGCTCCGCAACAGCGCGCGCGCTAGCATAAATCTGAGCAGAGTTCTGTACGCTGGACCAGATCAGCGAGGGCATCGAAATCTCCCCGCGGAACCCGGCGGGTACGGATCGCCGTATTTCCGAGTTCCTCAAGTCGGTCATCCTGATCCACATGCGAATTTGTGGCGATCAGACTGCAGAATTCCGAATCGTTGAGCAGGAAGGGCATGTGAGATGAGATAGATGGGAGGCAAAGAGGTTGGAGTTGAGAGAAGTAATTATTATCACGTGCCGGTGGCATCAATACAGGGCCCTATGTATGCACTAATCTCATAATATAGTAGTACATCATATCTACATCCAATCATATCGCTTTCTTTCATAAGCTCGTCAATATATCTCGTCTCGCCTCAAAAATATACTTCTTTTACCTAAAGAACGAATGGTTCCTCTTGTAGAGACAGGTAGTAAGCTTCCAGCCAATTGTGTATCAACACTTCTCCGGGACTTTGTCCCACTGAGAACCTTATCCAATCCTAATGTCGTTGTAGGCCTTAGCTCTTCGATCGCGGACTGCCGACGGGGTTTCTTCTTCCGATGAAACATCCACCGACGGGTCCGCCGGATGGCTTCCTGGCATCCATCGCCGATATCGTCCACGGTTAGGGCAAGGAGAATAAGTGGGATAGAAATGGCAACTCCAATGCCGAATGTGTATTCTGCGACGTATGAGAGAGGGAGTTGCTCCGATCCGTCTGCGCTGTGGGGAAACTCTTCGAGGTTCATTGTAAAAAAGGTTGCGATGAATGACAGGGGAAGAAAGACAGTTGTGACGATAGTAAACACCATCAGAATCTTGCCCTGGCGGGTTGTGCCAGCAGCTTGGTCGCGGGCGAATCGGGCCTCGAAAGCGTTTGCATGCTTTTGCTTTAGATCTAGCAAATCCGTGATGGATGAATATATACGCTCTGCTTGCTTATCCATCCGCTCGATGTCCTTAAGGTGCATGTCGATCGCGCGTTGCTGCTCCTTGAATCGCCTCTTGATTTCGTACTGCGATCGATGCTCTACCTGATAAATTCCATAGATGACATCTTGGAAGTCAAGTAGGACATCTTGCTGGTGTTGTAGAACAGTACGAATCATGTTGAGTTCGTCACGGATGTCCTTAGCCTCGGCAAGAAGGTCGATCTCCTGTCCGATATCGAGGAGATTATCCACGAAGAGGGGCACTTCATCTTCGTCTTCTTCAAACTGTTCATCGCCGTCACGGTCGGTGGCATCCTTTTTTGACTGCGAGTTCCGAGCGAAACGACTCAGCTTGCGATGGTTTTTGAGCCAGTCCGAGGCCTGGGCTGATGCACGGTTGAATTTATTAAAAAGCACTGTCTCGCGGTCCGTTGCAATGCCAATTGAGGACTCGAACATATCCAGGAACTGGTACTCGTCGTCACCCATACGGTGGCGGTCAAAGACACCCGAACAGCGGTTAGTGATGATGCTGGCCAAGTCATATACAGAACGAACTGGTTCTCGAGTCTTGGAGTTTATGTCCTCTATGATTCCGTCCAACACGTTTAGCGGGTCATTTTTAGGTTGTTCCCATCGTTGTGCGAAACAGGTGACGATCAAATCCGTCCCCATGATCCACATCCACAATTGGTCCACCATGAAAATCTTGGGTTCAGCTCCGTATCTCTCTTGTCCTTGTCCCTTGGTCTGATAGCGATACACCACCTGGTCCTGATCTCGGGTCTGGGTATCAATGTTAGGGTAGAAAAACTGATCCAGTGTCCGCCGGACATGAAGCGACGCCGTGGAAGATGCCAGGTGCGCGCGGATGAGCATCTCATCCCGTGTAGAGGAGCGAGAGAGTCCAGTCTGAATATTAAGCGTCTCAGCTCGTTGTATTGCTTCTTGCATTTTCAGTCTCCTTTCAGCCGTTTCGAAATGGAGATATGGCATGAACACACACACATTGCTGGTGGCAGAATGTCCGTTGTCTTTACAGAAAGAGAGTGGATGTCGACGTTGCTCGCCATTCTTCGAATTTTGTATCAATTCTCCCTTTGCTCTACCACGTTTGGTGTGATTCTTCGCTTTTTTCCCTTGGGAGCTATTCGAGGTATCGTCAGATTCAGCCCGTTCGAACTTTCCTCCCTGTGGCTTCTGCTTCTTTGCTTTGTGGCTACCGCCGTTTGCTGGACTTTTCGGCAGCTCTTGGAGACGCCCGTTGATGACAATTTGAGGGAGCTTTCTTTCAACCTTTTCCTCTGCGCTTTCTTCTTTTTCTTCATCAAACCGTTGATTTCGTTGTGTGCGTTGGCACATTGGTCGCATAAAGAGGGAATGCGTTCTTTGACCTCGATGTTGGTAGTGGAATGACCTTTCAAGGCCCTTGAAGCTGTCGATGTCGTGCGCGCCCTCCTCGATGAAATTCTTAGTGAGCAGCGCCTCTACCCAAGCCATATTGTTCGCGGGAAGATGAATCCACCTGAAGTCGGTAACTTTACTATCCTTGGGAACAGTAGTAAAAGCTTGTTTGTGTGGGTTATCGGGGTCTCGCCCGTATAATAAGTTAAAAACTGATGTTTTCCTCACTCTATTCTCGTTGCGAAAGTTTCCAAAGTCGACAACTGTCGCTTCGAAACCTTCGCAAGCACCCCGTGCATCCGGCGAAAGTGCATCTACATTATTGAATGGTGCCAGGAGCAACACGATATCTTTGCGCTTGAACTGGGCTGCTCGTAAGAATGGCGTACAGCCAAAGTTATCACGGACCCTCCGCTTCAAATCCGGATGCTCTAGAAGACATTGGACGACGTCGGTGTGTCCTGCCTGGGCTGCTAGATGCAGCGGTGTGATACCATTCAAAAGTTGACTGTTGATCTTGGCTCCAGTGCGCAATAAAATGCGCACTATCTCCTTAGCGCCCTTATCACAAGCATTATGCAGCGGAGTCCAGCCGCCATCACTTCTGGAGTCAATATCTGCACCATGTCGGAGTAGAAGATGTACAATATTGTCCCAATCATGCGCGATTGCGATATGAAGTGCACTTTTATTTCTGTACTCGGTCGCATTTACGTTCGCAATGGGCCCATGTGGTCTTGTCAAAAGCAACTCTGCGAAGCGCAACTTTCCCGTCGCGCAAGCCCAGTGCAGTGGAGTTCGACCCAACTCGTCCTGGCCGGCTTCACCATCGATCTCGCAAACAGTCTTCAACAAAAGTGCAATAACATCCTCACCCCAGTTGCAGTGCTTATCGGCTGCCAGGTTATGCAGCACATTCCTCTTTCTGTGATCTTTCGCGTTGACATTTGCGCCTCGTGCGATTAGTATTTGCAGCACATGCCAGTGGTTCTTCCAGGCGGCTGTCATCAACGCCGTTCGGCCATCCTTATCCGTCGCCTCTAGAGGTACGCCATAATCTAACAGCAGCTGCACTATCCGGACGTGATTCCGCTCAACGGCGCGCAGTAGCGGTGAAGGGCGATTATTCGCGGCGAGAGGAGAGGGTCGATTACTCCCATCCTTCTGATTCACGCACAATAAGTCCAACAAATACTGCGTTGCGGCAATGCATCCGCGCTCGCAGCTTCGCATAAGCCCAACTCGCAGAAAGTTGTCGCTGTACTGGCCATTCTCGTGGGCCAATTCGATAATGTGCCTCAGCGCCTCGACGCTGTCGTTTTCGGCCGCTCGTAATAAACGCGGCTCCAGACGGTCACCGCTGTCACTTGCAATACTAGATCGTGACCTGGACATGGTCAAGGCTTTGGGCGGATGCCGCTACCGCATTCTATCGGTCGGTGCAGCTTTGACACGAGTGAACGCGCATCGAAGCTGAGGCGGAAAAAATGGCGATTCTGACAGTAAAAATTGCGGCAAAGTGTGTGATTAGCGTAATTACCACACGGGAAACCAATACGAAGTCGATCATTTAAGCAATGGCCCAGACGTGAGGTAGTTCATTTAGCTGCAGATTTTGAGGCCGATCCGCAATAACGTCCAGTATTCTGGCAGGGTCTGAGCGATTCCTTTTTCCCTTTTTACTTCGTTTCCCCCCACCTCCCTTGGTTGCCAAGATACCTGCATCATGTTTACTTGTCCATGATCAATGGTTGATGGGGACAAGATGCGCGTCAATTTCATTTCCAGCTGTTGCTGTGCTCTCGCCCTCAACAGCCGCCGTTTCGCACTAAGCGAAGTGGCTGGGTTAGCGCGGGTCGCTGACAGAATATCCTGTTTGACGACTTTCTGATCGGCAAATTAGCAGTATTTCTGTATCGTACGACTTGACATACTCCGGGGTAGAATGGCTAAGAGTTATCTCGTGTAAATAACTTCAGAGAGAAGGGATCAGCGAACACCGTGATCCTCTAATAGAGGATATTGTAGGATATAGAGGTTAACGGGTAAGGTTTTCTTGGGAGTACGACAACCTCCAGGAGCCGGGGGTTTGGAATCAGAAGATAAAGAGGAAGAGGAAGGAGAAAATGTTGCTGCTGAATTGCAAAATCCCCAAAAAGGAGGGTTTTATTATAATAATTATCAGTCCAACACGGACCGTTATCTCTATCAGGTTCATAGTAAATAACATCAAATCAGACCGCCTTTGGGTCAACAGAAGAACCCCAAGGGAATTCGCCAAAATAGAACAGGAGAAAAGGAAACGAAAACAAAGAGAGGAAGAGAAAAAAGGATTATATGCTTGCATGATGAAGGACGACAGGAGGTATGAAGGAACGCGGTGCTAAGACACAGATCTTCAAAACCATGGCAATCTTGCCATTTTGTTTAATGCACGCTATAGTCAAAGTGAAGCACCCATCTTCTCTTTCAATTCCAGGCCTGGGATTCAGATAGATTTGTAATTACGCCATTCCAGCCTTTTGGTCCAAATAGATTTATGTGCGCCCATAATGGTCAATAACCGACGTTAAATACGAACAAGAGGGGGAAGAGGATGAAGTATTAAGAGTCAATGGCGACGTGAAGACACGAAAGCTGAAAAGGCATGCAATTAATAATGCAAGATGAAAAAGAAAGATCCGTGGCCTTGATGTGAGAAGAAGAAAAAAAAAAGAGATTTGAAGAGAAAAAGGAAGAAAAGGGGAGGGAGAGGAAGAAAAGGAAAAGCGTTTCAACCAGACGTTGTGCACGCTAGTTCAGTCTTTATTTTTTCCCTTTCTGATTTGGAACCTGTTTCAAAATGTCATCGAAACTCATGTTGGGATTGAACCTGCTCATGGGCCTGGCAGGTGGGTCAATCGGGGCAACACCAGCTGGTAGCGGAAGTGCTTCAAGACCTGGGTAGATGGAGTGTCGATGTTCCGCTCGGCTTCTCAAGGCTGGGGAGTTTGTCCGGGGAATGACTGGGGGAGGCGTGAGGCCATTACCTCCTGGTGCCAGGAGGGGAGTGGGTTGTTGCTGTTGATGTTCCGCTGACGAACCTGCAGACGATTGCTGGGCCTGGTAGGGCGAAGACAACGACGACTCGTTATCATATGGATCCTCAACTGTTGGGGGCGCCAAAATGGCATCCTTCTCCGCCCATTGCTCGGCAACCTGCCAGCAGTGACTCCGCCGATAGATGCCCTCCACGCCATTGATGACTACATCAGACGGCAGACTGACGACACCGGCCCCGCCTGCCACGCCAAACCAACTCCGTGCCACTTTACCATCATTCTGAATCCAAGGGGCACCACCCCTAGGGGCGATACAGCAGAAGTACTCGACTCCATCCGTGTACTTGACATCCTGTACATCCACCACAAGCAGGGGAAGTGACTGGATGACACAGTACAGGAAAATCCATTGACCACATCGAAGATCTATAAGGTCGTTGATGGTCTTCCCATGGCCACATCGACGCTCGAATTGCATAAATGACTCGATGAATGGCGTCGGCTTGAGGCTCTCACGGGTGTATGATCCCATCAGGACAGCATTGATGTCGGCGTCCTTAAGCTTCTTTGCGTTCTTTTTGGCTTCCTTCTTGGCATCCATAGGCTTGCGCTGGAGCGGTTGCAGCGACGGGAACTGCGGAATATCGAAAGGAATGGGAGGCTGGACCGGGGGTGTGCTTCTATCATACTCGCTCAAGACCTGCCGGAGTGCCCTGTTTGTCATTGTGTTGAGGTCATCGGCTTCTGCTACCTCGTCGGCACCCATATCTACAGTTCGGGTAGTGAGGGAAGACCGATCGACCAGCATATCGTAGAGGTTGGCGAAGTCATTATAAAGCTCCATCAAGACTCGGCGATTGAGACCGTTCTCTTCAAACTGGTTCTTCTTGGACCGTGCCTTAGGAGGCCAGGAGCCATATCTCTGCCGGTAATACTGGATGGTATGACGTCGCATATCCATAAACGCAGCCTTCCACGCTTTAAAGCGGATCACCTTGCTTTCGGCAGACGTGGTCGAATTGGCAGCACCGGCAAATGCAGAAGGGAAATCGAAGTCATTGAGCTTGCCGTATAGAACTCGAAGACGTGTATCCAGGTCAATGAAGCCTCGTTCCAGGCGCTTCTGAGTTGCAGCACTGATGAGACCGAACTTGGGACTCCTCAGCTGTTTCAGTTCATCCAGTTTACCCACACCATGTACAAAGCCTTCAAGATACAGCGGGAAGAAACGCAGACGCTCTCCCAGAACAATCGCTTCAATCGTCTTCTCCCGGCTTTTGCGAACATCTGCCAGGTGTAACTCGTCACAGTAATTGCCAAAGCTCGTGGTTGCAGTTTCGCCGAAGTTGGATCCATCGAAGTTAGTAAATTCGAACCGAGAGAGCAGTGTGGCGACGTCCATGAAGATGGCGAAAAGGGAAGGGGAGCGAGGCGTTGCAATTAGCGACTGTCCTAATAGAAAAGCAAAGAGGTTACGGAATAATAGCAGAGATTCCGTGTCCTCTTGTGAGATGCGGCTATGAGGGCTGGAAACATCGCTATTCAGGGGGATGGGCAGATAGAGATGAAGTTCCTGTAACTCGTCCTGTCCGTCATCTTCCACGAAGACCATCCTCCTACTACCGGTACTGTCATTGTCATTGTCCGGCAATCGGTCCTGAGGAGTCAGGGGCGGTGACGCAGGGCCCGTGACAGGGGATGCCAGTGATAAATTGCGAGTTTGCTGTTCGATGGATCCTGGGGTCCGGGGGTCAGTCCCCCGAGCTAGGAAATTCAGGGATGGCGACTCGGCAAAGACGGTCGAATCGACTCTGAAGGAAGCGGGTCTGCCTGTATTCTGAGGGAAAAGATAGACGAAGGTGTCCCCATTTTCATTCCACAATTCAGGGATCTATTGAGATCCGGGGTTAGCGAGTCTTAAACTCCCTAATTTTGTTGACATAAAGGATAGAAAATTCCACAACTTGTTACGTACCTGTTCCCCTCTGGATAGAGGCTCCAGGTCATATAGGATTTTTTGATCTAACCCAGCAATCCAAGCGCTGGGTAATGAAGGACTAGTGGGTGCCGTTCTAGTGTCTACTGAGCTTGCCCGGACGCGTCCGGGAATCCAGCTCCTTCTCTTTGAAGGAGTTCCGGGACGTGAATCAGGGCCGGTTCCCGGCACAAAGAGGCCCGCGGAGCTAGAAGGCCTGCTTCCACTCATTATGCGGCCTCTGCTTTGGGGTCTCAAGTCTGGCGAGCCGGGCGCACTTCCGGCTAGATCCTGGTTTACGGCGAGAAGTGAGGGCGGGGGCGGAAGAGGGGCATCCAAGTCGAAATTATCATTCGGCACTGGCGATATAGGCGTTCGGGATTCCGAATAGTCGACACTAATTGGATTAGATGCTAAACGAGCCGATCGCGAACTGCTTCGATAACGTCCATCTTGAATCTGTTGATCGGGAGAAGCCTTCGGGGCTCCGGGAGACCCAGGCGACGAGGGAATCGATGCCTCTTTGCTGGACCCCAAGGAAAAAAGCGACGATATACGCTTCGCCGACTTTACCGGAGCTGACAGCATCTTCACGGCTGCTGTTGGGTGGGAACAGAGGAAAGAAAGCGCGACGGTGACCAAAGGACAATTCGACAGCTTAACTCGAAACCCGGTGGCGGGCGCACGCAGTCAAGGAAAAGGTGCGCAACACGGTCACAAAACAGTGAGGTACAAAGGAATGCTGCTGAAAGCCAACCATGCGAAAAATCCTCTAGGTCGTGTTAAGGCAAAGAATTCCCAGCGGGGACTCAGTCAGGTGGTGGATGTTCCCTGTTGGGAGGATAGCGAAGGGAATGGATCGGCAGGAGGGATCCGAAGAATGATGAGAGAAAAGTTATGATGACAAGGGTTGGGAAGGGGTGCGGAATATGGCTGAGAGAAGGGGATCGGGGGGGCACCCTGAGACTCGACAGAGCAAAACGATCCAAAAACTTCCTCTGGAGAAACAATGGTGGTTTATTTATTATTATGTGATTTTGTTATGAAATGGGTTTGGGATACGGATTTTAGGTGTATTTTTTACCATGGGTGGAGCCACGGTATGGGCAGAAAAAAAGGAAAAATTAATCAATGGTTCGAAAGGGCAAGAAAAAACACTTCAAGATCGAATGAGAACCATGGAAAGTGAGGTATTAAGGTGTAAAGAATTAAACACATGTCCAAAAGAAAAGAGTCTTTCTTTTTTTTTTTAAACTTGTTTGGAATTTCCCTTAGATACCCCAGAACATTCTCAGTGCCCCTTTGACTCTTGTTATATACATATTCTCTATGTGCATCATCATGAGTATTCACTGTTACTGTTTCTATTATTATCAGAGTATTTGAACTGTTTGTTCAACACTGTGGTAAATTTTAATAAGCGGGTCCTTTTTTTTTTTTTTTTTTTGCTTTTTCACTTTTCTACTACCTTTCTAGAGCTTTTTTCTTACGAAGGACGGAGTACTACGGAGTAAAAGACCTGTATCACTCTTGTCCGCCATCCAGAGACACCAAACCTGTTGAAGTGGGCTGGGGGGAAAGTCGGGAGAGGCTGTGCTCTTTTTCTGGTTCAGGAGGCTCAAGGATGGCATCATCCTCTGTTGGTTTGATCAGTTTAGATAATGTCTCCCAAGGCAGAATTATTACTACTGTGGATTCTTTGAGGATGAGAACCTACCGTTCGTAAAAGCCGTTTTTCCTTTCTGTGTCATCTTGTTTCTTTTTTTTTTTTTTTTTTTGTTGTTCTCCATACCATGCCAATATTACCAGGCATCACTTTTTATACAGCCTCAAGAATCGTAGCCGAACTGAGCCTGCCAGGTGCACTAATAGTACTCCTCTAAGCGGACTAGTTGGTAACATACCCCCTGTCAACACTCCCGGTCATCCGGAGCTCTTCGGAGTCTTCCATCGAGATCCAGAACCCCGGGTCTGTTGCCTATGGATCATTCAATAGTGACAAAGATAAATATTCCCAAATGGTTCCTGGCCTGGACATTGTTGTTTCGGGAATAAAATAGCTTCAAGATATATAACGCATTTCATATTTTTCTTCTTATAACCATCCCGTTGTGTACATTCTTCTACTACTTACCAGCACTAATTATATTATCATGTCAATATAGATTCCTGTACAGTCATGACTGCTGACGCTGACAGGTGGATATACTTTGCGATCCAGGGGTACTCCGTTGTGAGCATAATTTTTTTCCTTGCTTTTTTTTCGCCCCTCCAAAGTCCAGATCCTACTCCCAGGCTGCATTTCGGACAGAATTCTAACCCACAGCCGCTGACTCCCTTTCCACCTTCGTTTACGCGACTGATTGATTATGTGTTAGTCCAATGAAAGTATCCAGAAAAGCCAATACTTTAAACCTCCTCGTGAGTCTTGACTACCTCAATGCTGGGGATAAGGTAGATAAGTTACCTGGTAATACCCGGATAGAAAACCGTTGTGGGAAAAGAACTGGATGAGGTGCACGCTAAGAATAGCAGTGGGCCTATGGTACCGCGTACTATAGTTACATACGTATGACTACTACGTAGGTACTTCCTCCTTCCATGGGCCATATTAATTGAGCATCAATCCGTACATGAGTAACCGATTGGAGAAACAAGGCTTGACGTGTCACTTTCAGAGCCTTTGCTTTCCAGGGCACATACATTCCAACTACTCCGTAAAGTCGGAATGTAAATGACAAGTCTTTTCTTGCAATCTACCTTCATACGTGGTATGTCAAATTATACTCTTGGTAAATACCAGTACAATGAGCCATCTGGTTTTGGTTATGACCAATACATTTTTTGGAGGGGACTGAGGATTTACATCACCGCCTTCTGCTCTCATCCGCTACCTATGTCTTGGCGTTCGTATACCGTCACGTCGCAATTTTGCCCATCCTCACATCTATCGATACTGGATGTTCCGGTATTTAGGTCAACCGTTACTGTTGCATCGTCGGAGTAAGCCGAATATTACTAAAAAAGCAAGGAGCGAATGCACGAGCCGCAATCTTCAACTCTAACAAACAGAATAGGGCAGTGTCGCTGACGTGGTTGCCCGTGATATATAATTGTATGCAGAACTAGGGAATCCCATTCACCATACGGAGTACCAAGGCTGCAAACAAACGAGTACCACCGGGTCATGCACGGTTGTCATTGATAGGCTACCGGAAGATCACGTTGCTACCTTATTACCCACATTCACTAGGTACTGTGCATCAGATACCCTTACCTGATGGATTCTCCAGATGAGGTCAACCTGTTTCGTGGCTGGCCGAACCCCGCCTTGCTGCCCACAGACGCCTTAGCTGAGGCCTCCGCCACAGTCCTGGCTTCACCAACCATCCGAGTTCCGGCTTTAATGTATGGTCCCGATGAGGGTTACCAACCGTTGCGAGAACACCTTGCCCAATGGTTGACGGGTTTCTACCAACCCCGCCATCCTGTCTCTGCCGAGCGCATCTGTATAACGGGCGGTGCCAGTCAAAACCTGGCTTGTATCTTGCAAGTCTTCACGGATCCCTCATATACAAGAAATGTCTGGATGGTGGCCCCCACCTATTTCTTAGCATGTCGGATAATGGACGATGCTGGGTTTGCTGGCCGCTTGAGGGCGGTACCCCATGATGAATTAGGTCTAGATCTTGCATTTCTCCGTCAAGAATTGGTTAAGGCCGAGGAGAAGGCTCGAGCTGAGCGGCGTCTTGAACCGGTATGATAGTCCTCTCGAGAGTCAGGGTGTATGTCTACAGTCATATCTGATTTCTCACATTGATGAACAATATACTCGTATGTCTCCAGAGCAATGAGGCTAACTAACACCTTAAAGAAATATAAACTACCGAGACCATGGGCCAAAGTTTATAAACATCTTATCTATGCCACGCCGACATTTTCCAACCCGACAACATTGACAATGTCTTTGTCGGATCGGGAGGGCTTGGTCCGTCTCGCGAGAGAATTTGATGCTCTGATTGTGACAGATGACGTTTATGATTTTCTACAATGGTCACCTGATCCAGAAAAACCGCTAGCACAGCCTGACAAGGCTCAGATCCCCCGTGTGGTAGACGTGGATCGTTACCTTGATGGTGGCCCTAAGGATGAGTGGGGCAACGTGGTAAGTAATGGAAGCTTTAGCAAGCTAATCGGACCTGGCGCAAGAACTGGATGGGCAGAGGGCACCGAAAAATTCGCCTATGGTCTGTCGCAAACGTATGTGTTGAACTTCCCTTTAGAGTGAGTGACACCATTAATCTAACTGTTGATGGACAACAGAGGCTCCTCACGGTCAGGAGGCGCGCCATCCCAGTTTTCGGCTGCCATTATCGCTCAACTGTTCCCCACGGGGTTCATCCAAACCTATGTCGACCAGGTCTTGCGACCCAAATATGCAGAGCGCTACTATCGTCTAATGTCTGCCGTCCGTGAGCACCTTCTTCCCCTTGGTGTTACGCTTCCATCCACGTCGCCAGAGGTTGTGGGAGGGTACTTTGTTTGGATCCAACTGCCCCCGCCACTACAGTCGGATGATATTGCGACCGTAGCACTTCAAGAGTATAAGGTGAATGTTATTGCTGGTAATCGATTCCGTGTTCAGGGCGACCCCGACACTACCAGAAACAGTTTTGACAGAGGCATACGCCTCTGTTTTGCCTGGGATCATGAGGAGAAGTTAGCGGAAGGGGTGCGTCGACTTGCATGCGCTATACGCTCCGCACTTAAATAAGCTCTTGATCACCTTGATCATCAGATCACGCGAGGGGACAGATGCCTCGAGATTTCAGGGTCGCAACAACCAAGGGTGAGCGGCGGCTCGATCCGCTCCGGCCCTTGGGCAGACATCTTTTGGGTACTCGATGTGGTTGCGTAGCGGTCATTGGTGCCAAGAAGGGGTTGTGCCAATTAGCAAGTGAGGATAGATTGCCTGGGGTGTCGCTAGGCGCCAGGCGTCAAATGACTCTTGAATTGTGATACAATCGATGGCTCCGGGGTGACTCTGCGGGGTGCAGCAAATTAAGCGAGGTGGAGGATGCAGAGGCGCGGATGACCGGTGCAGGTGCAGCTGTTTTTACGATATGACCTGTATATTATAGGGAGACATCTGTAGAGGCAAGTAGAGTCGAAGTAAACACGCCGTAAACCGGATTACTGAATCAAACAGTTCAAACGAGAATATGTATTGAAGGGGAGCGACATGCATTCCTCGTCCCGCATTCAGGGTTTCTACCGCGCATTCTTGACGCCAACAATTTTCTTGGAAGTCTCATCATGTGTTTTGGGCCCTTTCCATATTTAATGTCTTGGACAAAACACTGGGCAGGGGCACTCCATGTCGCTTTTAGCGGGAAATTACGTGTTGATTTTACTAAGGAATAAAGTTCAATAACTTGAATCTTGCGCTCGTCTTGCTTTCGGTGGGACTGATTGGTGAAAGCTCCGCGGGTAGATAGATCCTGTGGTGGAATCGCGGCATCGCGGGAGCCCATTAAAGCTTGGCTCTTGCAAACTAGTATATAAATAGTCGAGCTACTGACGGCACCGCATCACAACAACCCCCTGGATAACCGAGTGGGTCATGTATTCGTCCCACACGGCTACTGCTCCTGTCGGCGCATCGGTGCCTATTTCGCGCAGATAAAACAGCAGGGGCCAAAATCTCCATCGGAAACAAATGGTGCTATCTCCGGCAAGTAGATGGTAGTTATACGTCTAGATAATGCACAGTCTCTCGTGGTGACAAGCCCAGTTATGTGTACCCTGGTGTGGCGCTTTGTTGACATCCATGGCCCGAAGAATGTATGCGTATACATGCTGGGTACCAACTACACTTGGCACAGGGCTGAGGGTTGAGCTCCTGCGTACTATCGCAGCAGTCTGCACACTTCCTCTAACCGATCGAGTAGTTAGTGGAGACGCACGGCCTCTGATCCATACCAGTCGTTGCGAATCCCCTTCCAAACAGCTCCATAGAGGATTCCAGAGGCAAACACTCCCACGCGGTCCGTTGTTTGGATGGCGAATAAGGGACATACGTATTTTGACCATTCTCAAGCTCTTGTTAATCTCTTGGAAGGGCTGAAGTACAGCACAAGAAAAAAGCAAAACAAGGTATTGGCCACCGGAAAAAAGAAAAAGGGAAAACAAAGCCCGCGCACATAGTTTGGACCCGTTCGACAGGAATCTGGCCACGACGAAATGTTGATCAAGGCCTTGGCTCAGCACCATAGTGATATATAGCCTGTTAGATCTCCAGATTGGGTGTTCAAGGCGCTCTCTCTTTCCCTCCTGCATGCTGTCTTTCTGTCCTTCCTTTGTTCTGGCTTGTCTTTAGGTCAGTGTGTATTCCGTGCACCAATAGACAGAGTCATTCCTTCAAGCGCTGTATCCTTCGCTGGCATCCATACGGAAGCTATCCTTGTGGCATTTTCTATTTTCACACCATCTTTCCCTCAAGGTTTCTGGCTAGTTCCCACTTGGTATGGTTCCCATGCGTTCCTTTTAATCTATCGTCCGCGTGCCTCAGGGAATTTGTAGTCGAATCGTGCATGGTTAACGGCAAGTAGGGCACGATCAGTCGTTTCATCCCCTGACCCAAGTGTTTCAAGCCTTGGTTGGTGTGTGGTGATCGGTCGTGGTCATTGGTCACCAGGAGTGGATCTGCAGCCAGAGTGGACTGGCAATTGGCTGAAGATTACCGATCATCAAACCAGAAAAGGTTATTTCACAACAATACCGGACTCAGTGGTGGTCGGTTGCCGTATTTACCGTATCCATTCACTGTGATTTGAGGCCTGACCAGGCACAATAAGTATTAGCCCTGGTCCATCGCTATCAAGGCCATTCATTCATTTCTTCATTCACTCACTTTCCTTTGACCTCCGGGAGCGTCTTTATCCGGTGTTTTGCCTAGCCTTATTGTTCTTTTGTTTGTTCATTCCTTTGTCGACGATTCATTGATAGACTCCGGCAGGCGAGCTTCCTTTCGTTCGTCGACGTCCTCCAAGCAATTCTCACTCATTTGACCATATACATCTTCTGACATTGTCGCGTGACGAAGCTTCATCACACTCCTTGATATCAAACAGTGGTTGTTGATCAGCCGATCAGCATAGCTAGCGTACCGGATACTGGAGGTTGACTTGATATTGCGTCTGTTCCGCTCTTTCAGTGAGATCTCTGCCGGTTCAGCGATCTCCTAGCCGTCTCAAAGATGGCGTCTCTACACACAACTATCATGCTGTTCCTAGCACATGTGCTGCTACTTCTAGGGTTGCCCGCGGGCCTCGTCGATGCCGTACCATTGGGTCAAGAGACGGGAATCACGACGAATTTGGCTGCCAGGGCGGGATCAGACTATTGGGTTGGAACTATCAAGCGACAGGGTGCTGTTGCTTTTGGAAATGGCACAGACTATCAGGTATATCGTAACGTGAAAGACTTTGGTGCTAAGGGTATGTGTTGCCATCGGGGACAAAGAGGACATATGCTAACTGCAAGCAGGTGATGGGTCGACGGATGACACGGTTGCTATAAACCAGGCTATTGCATCTGGGAACAGATGCGGTAAGGGTTGTGATTCATCCACCGTCACTCCTGCCCTCGTGTACTTCCCTCCCGGTACTTATGTCGTCTCCAAGCCAATCATTCAGTATTACTATACTCAAATCGTTGGCGATGCCCTTAACCTGCCTGTGATCAAGGCGGCTGCGAACTTTGCCGGCATGGCTGTGATTGATGCCGATCCTTATAATGATGACGGCAGCAACTGGTACACCAACCAGAACAACTTCTTCCGTGCCGTTCGTAACCTTGTCATCGATTTGACTGCCATGCCCCAGGGATCTGGTGCTGGTATTCACTGGCAGGTGGGCCAGGCGACTAGTTTGCAGAACATCCGGTTTGAGATGGTGAAGGGTGGCGGCGATGCAAACAAGCAACAGGGCATCTTCATGGACAACGGATCAGGTGGTTTCATGTCAGACTTGACTTTCAACGGTGGTAACTATGGCATGTTCGTAGGAAACCAGCAATTCACTACCCGCAATTTGACCTTCAACGACTGCAACACAGCCATCTTCATGAACTGGAACTGGGCTTGGACCTTCAAGTCAGTTGCCATCAACAATTGCCAAGTCGGTCTGAACATGTCCAACGCTCCGCAGAACCAGACTGTGGGCTCTGTCTTGATTCTTGATAGTCAACTTACCAACACCCCCACCGGTGTCGTTACTGCTTGGACCGAGAAGAGCATTCCCATTGGCGGAGGTGCCCTGATTCTTGACAACGTTGACTTCAGTGGTTCCAAGGTTGCGGTTGCGGGTATTACCGGTAACACTATTCTGGCTGGCGGCTCCGTTGTCTCAAACTGGGTCCAGGGCAATGGTTACATCCCTGGCAGCACGAAGCAGAAGCGTGAGGCTTCCGTGACAGTGATTACTGAAACTGTGACGGAGACCGTCGAGGTCTGCACTCCTGATTATACAGAGTCCTCGCATTCACTGACGGCCCTTCCGTCGGCATCAGGAGAGAGTCGTACTGCTGGGATTCTACCGGGTCTTCCAATTGTGGGCAGTTTGTTAGGCTCTGACTCATCTGCCACCCAGCCCACTGAAGCACCCACCCCTGAGGTTCCGGAGCCCACTGGTGCTGCCTCAACTCCAGAGGCTGAACCATCTACTGCTGTTCAGCCAACTCCCAAGCCATCCGCGCCTGCACCATCACAGCCAGAGGCTCCATCCAAGTCCACTGTGACCGGGTCCGTCATTCCACCCAAGCCGTCCCAAACTGTCCAGGGATCGTCTTCGGCCGTCCATGGCACAAACGTCTGCTCCGTCAAAACGGTCACAAAGACTCGCCTACAAACTGCGCTCCCAACTCATGCTAAGCCCGACTCCCTGCTCGCTGGTGGAAAGGTTTACGAGCGCTCCAAGCCCCTGTACGGCAGCTACGCTGCCTCTTCGTTCATCAGCGTCAAGTCCGCGGGCGCCAAGGGAGACGGCTCGACTGACGACACCGCCGCCATCCAGAAGATCCTCAACAGCGCCACGGAGGACCAGATCGTGTATTTCGACCACGGAGCCTACATCATCACCGACACCATCAAGGTGCCCAAGAACATCAAGATCACCGGTGAAGTATGGCCCGTGCTGATGGCCCAGGGCCAGAAGTTCGCCGATGAACAGAACCCTATCCCCATGCTGCAGGTCGGAGAAGTAGGCGAGACCGGCTCCGTTGAAATCACCGACATCGCCCTGCAGACCAAGGGTCCGGCGCCCGGCGCAATCCTCATGCAGTGGAACGTCGCCGAGGCCTCCCAGGGTTCCGCCGGCATGTGGGACACGCATTTCCGTATCGGCGGATCAGCAGGCACCGAGCTGCAGAGCGACAAGTGCGCCAAAACGCCGCAGCAAACCACCACGCCCAACGAAGAGTGCATCGCCGCATTCATGCTCATGCACATCACCGAGAAGGCCAGCGCTTATATCGAAAACTCCTGGTTCTGGGTCGCCGACCATGAGCTCGACCTCCCCGACCACAACCAGATCAACGTCTACAACGGCCGCGGCGTCTACATCGAATCCCAAGGCCCCGTCTGGCTCTACGGTACCGCCTCCGAGCACAACCAGCTGTACAACTACCAGGTCACCAACGCCAAGAACGTCTTCATGGGCCTCATCCAGACCGAAACCCCTTACTACCAGGCTAACCCCAACGCCCTGACCCCCTTCACCCCGCAGACGAAGTGGAACGACCCCGACTTCTCCTACTGCAAGACCGACGGCTGCCGCAAGGCATGGGGTCTGCGCGTCCAGAACACCTCGGACATGTACGTGTACGGTGCCGGGCTGTACAGTTTCTTCGAGAACTACGGCCAGACCTGTCTGGCGACGGAGTCCTGCCAGGAGAACATGGTTGAGGTCGACTGCTCTGACGTCCACATCTACGGACTGAGCACCAAGGCTAGCACGAACATGATCACGTCGAACAGCGGCGCCAGTCTGGTTCCCCAGGATGAGAACAGGAGCAACTTCTGCTCGACTATTGCGCTGTTCGAACAATCGTAATTTTTCTCTTTCTGTCTGCTGTTAGATCATTTGCCTTTCTGTTGTGTCCCTCTTGCATAATGACTAGACCTTTGCTTTCTATCGAGTGGGTGTAAATATTCGAGCCCGGGGATGTGTGGTACACTGTAATGGACTTGGTTTACCTGTCTGTATGGACACCTGGTTGTACGAGTCACGACGCGATAGAAGGATCGGCTCGCACGGGACGCACTGCTTTTTGTTGTTCTTTCTGTGGATACCACTTTTTTTGTTCAATCGTCAATTAGACTTTTGGTTCGATATTAATCCGAAATATGTCCCGGTAGGATACCGCATTAATTACGTCATGATAATAAAGTAACTCTTCTCGTAAAGTAAATCACTGCATCCACGAAGTAATCTCATGCCTGTGTGCACACGCATGAAATACACAGTACCGCGTTACATGGCATATAAACTAAACGACAATAAACCCCCACTGCAAACAGTAAGAGAATGACCCTACAATTCCTTCTTCAGGAAATGCTCCGGCTTATGCGTCGTCTCATAATCGACATGCACATACGCCCTCTCCACATCAGGCAGTGACTCCAGCTTCATCTGCAGTTCCTCGGCGACGTCATGAGTCGCGCGGAGGGAAGCATTGGGGTCCATGACGATGTCGACTTCAACAAGCAGACGGGGTCCGGAGGTGTAAGCGCGGACGGTATCAATGGCGGTGATTAAGGGGGAGTGGGTCATTGCTGATTGGATAATCTCTATTAGCATTTGCGCATTCGACTCTGACAGGGCAAAATGGAAAAGGGGATAAGACATACAGATATATGTAATCAGCTGCTGCATTTTAGTATCAGCAGTGACACCAATCAAAAGCTGAAACTCGTGATAGGCAGTATAAAGCCACAGACAGCTGACCAAGACGGAGAGTATAATAGCGCCCATGGGATCAATCCACCAGCGCAGCTTACTTCCACCGACCGAGGTCAGTATACCGAACCCGTTAATGAAAAGGTCGTTGCGGTGATCTTCCCAGAGGATGCGGATCTGGGAGACCTGGTGGCGCAGCGCGAAGCAGTAGACAAAGAGGGCGAACTTGGTGCAGAAGGCGACGATAACGGCGATGACGGAGGGCAGATGGAAATCGCCAGTTTCCGCCTCAGACCCCTGGACTAGTTCACGGATGGAGAAGGCAATAATGATGAATGAGACGGCCGTCATGAGGAAGCAGAAGCAGATGTTGCCGGCTGTTTCGATGCGGGCTTTGCCGGCGGGGAACTTGCGGGGGTCGACGCGGTTGACGGCCTTGTTACAGAGGAGCAAGGTGAGGTTGGACATGGGGTCGAAGACGGCGTCGGCCATTGTTGTGAAGAGGGAGAGAGAGCCCGACGCGATGGCACCGTAGAGTTGGAGGATGGAGAGGATGATGTTCGCGGCGAAGCTGCCGTAGACGGCGATTTTGTATTTGAGTTGGTTGTTGATGCTGATTTCGCGGGCATCGCGGACGTGCTCTTCGACGGGTTTCAGCATGCGCTCGATGTTCTCATTTTGCGAGTGGTAGAAGCCTTGTAGCTGTCTGGATGAGATAGCTGTGCTCAGTGCCTCCTTGGGGTTCTTTGTTGCGTGGAGGAGTCCTCCCGGGCTGCAGCTGTCGCGTTTACGGGCCGTGTTGGCTTGAGGATGGAGTTGTCGGATTTCTTCATCGGTCTTGATCTTCGATGCGAGCTGGAAGGGATCATTCTCGCGCGTGTATCGTGGCGGCGGTTGACCCTCTTCATCACTGGTGTTGCCGGTACGGTGTTGGGACGCTTGCGGTTCTAGAGCGGTGGTGGTTGCTTCATTGTAGGAAAGAGTGGATGGAATATGCGAGTGAGGAGCCTGGGGAGAATTGAACGGGGACGGATGATGAGACATGCTCTGGCGGAGGTGGGACTCTTCCATTGTACTAATTGATACAGCTGGAGATGAGGAGGAGAACGAAAGAAGGAAAGGGAGAAGGTCTAGACAAGAAAAAGGGACTGTGGCTGAGCTGCGGGCCGGAGCTGCTTATCTCTCGGATAACAAACCCATCGTTCATTTAAGATTCTTAAGTAAAAATTCTATCTAGTCTGAATGTAACCCAAGACACCTTAAAAAGAGCCAAATCCCCAACACATGTACACTTGATACAAAATGTATAGTATACCATCAAAGTTGTTATAAAATGGGTGGATTCCACCTGCTGAATTCCATACTGTGATCAACCTTGGAACATTTCTTGGTCGGAAGCTGCCGAAAAAACCTTCCCAAAATATCCAGTCTCAGCCGGACCAAAAGAATTCTCACCGGAAGAAAATTTCGAATATAAGCCAATGCTCTCGAAACAAGCTTCTGCGAGGTGCAATCTATCTGGATTTCGTCGATCCGGGTCGACAAATCCGTTGATTCCAACTGGCGCTGATTCAAAATTGCAGGGGTAGCTAAGTTGGGACTTTGGCCCAATAACGAAGATACTCTCCATGGTGGATCTCTGAGATCTACACTTGCTATCCTGGTGGAACAGGAGGAGATTTACGTTTCATCGTTTGTTTCATGGAAATCTATGAACCACTGCGTGGTTGTCCATGCATGCTAATTTCACCGAGTCTCGAATCGTCGCTGCACTGCCATGGTTCTAGAGTGAATACGAAATGTGATATACGCAATTCCAAGCAAGGATTCTCTCCCTAAACTGGGGTTCCAGTGTTCAAATGTATAATGCAGGCGAATTCTATTCACTTGCTAGAAAAAATCTATATAACTAAATCTATTCACACCTAACAGCTTGGTAAATCACATCACTTTTTTAAGCAGTGTACTTGACGAGGGTCTGCAGAAGACTGGCGACCCAGTTGAGCTTCTCCTCTGCGGTGCCGTCGGTGGGGATAGTGACGGTCGAAGCAGCAGAGCTAGGGGCAGAGGTGGCGGAAGGCTTAGCGCTGGTGGCAAAGCCGCTGGGGGCAGCGACGTTGTTGCCAGTGGTGGGGGTAGCAGTGACAGCGACACCGGTGGCAGTAGAGGTGGCAGTAGAGGTGGCAGTAGAGGAGGCAGTAGCAGCAGCGGTGGAGGCGGCGGAAGAGGCAGCAGAGGAGGAGCCAGAGGAGGAGCCCGAGCCCGAGCCGCTCATGGTGAAGTCAATGCAGGACTCATAGGTCTGATCGATGGACTCGGCGAACCAGTACCACTGGAGAACACAAGCACCAGCCTCGGAGCACTTGTTGCCGAGGTCGCTGGGGAGAGTGACGCTGAACTTCTTGTCGGTCTCCTTGACACCAGTCTCGGTCGAGGCATAGACATCCCAGGACTTGAGGGCCTCGCCGATGACGGCGTTGGAGGCGGTATCGACGACAGAGACGTTGGCAACACCGGTGTGAGGAGCACGAATGTCGACCGTGAAGTCGAGATTCTGGCCAGGGGTGTACTGGAAGACGTTGTCCTTGTTGTCGTCGAACTTGTAACCCTTGCAGAGCCAGGCGTTACACTTGGCGGCATCGTAGTCGCTCTGGCCGTTGGCAACCTGCAGTTCACCCTGGATGTTGCCGTAGTTGTCGGCCTCCTGGTTGTTGTACATTTGCTGACCACAAGCCGCCGAGAAAGCGGAACCAGGCATACGGGGCTTGGGAGAGGTAACGAAGCCGTGGCCGTGGGCCATGGAGACAAGGCCGGCAAGGGCAAGGACGGTACCAGTCTGCTTCATTTTGAAGGTGTGTGTAAATGGTTGAGATTTAATTAAGATCGAAGAAAGAAGCTTCTCAGAGAATGGATCGGTATAGACCAGTATACCTAATCAAATGAATGTATAGCGAGAAAGAATGTGACGGTCACGGACCTAGTAGTATAAGAGAATGTGAAAAGAAAGAAGAACAGAATGAGCCTGCGTGTTTAGAGAACGAGAGACAGGACGAGACGAGCGTTCTCGGTCATCTATATATACGGTCGGCTCAACATGACCGGCAGGAAAGCTCCATCGGAAGTCCACCGTGAAACAACTCTGGACGCTTCTCAAGGAGACGGTTATCTCCCGAAGCCCTTAGAATCAATTACCCCGAGACTCTCCACCGGAGAATGGCGTTGAACCAGACCATTGTCGCAAGGGCTTGGCCAGAAATCAATAGTTAGTGGAACTCGATTTCGGTGGGCTCATTAAAAGTGACAAGATACAAAGCGCCCAGTAGTTTCACCTTAATTACTCTAAAACATAACGGTGGCCGGTGGATATGCTTAGACCAGCTTCTGATGCTTGGCAGCTGGGTTAGGGTTTCAGCTTCATTAGCCCGGCGGCTCCATCACATGTAGCCACGACTTTTCTCCGACGATTAGAATCCCACGGTGCTTTTGGGATAGCTCCTGATTGATCAGATCCGGATCCTGGGAGGAAGACTTATCGCAATGGTCCAGCATTAGCATCCTCATATAGATTCGCCTCCTGCGCCCCACTTCATGAGTCAGTCCTTGAGTCTCCGTAATCATAAACAAGGCCAAGGGTCTTCGGAGTTCGTGCCTGAAAGAAGGCAGAAGCCTCGTACTTATGAGTAGGGGTAAATGAGCCCACTCTTTTAGTCGGAGCTGACTCGCCGCTTGCTTTTTGGGTAAGCGCCGGGTGTTCATTAAGTGATCTGTGCGATACATGGCTCTAAGAACCAGTGTAGGTAAAACAAGCATCGGCGAGTCCTCGGCAGATAAGAATTTTGTTAATAATGAACAGTTCATGAGCGTTAGCATGCTATGATGTAGCTGCCATATGCCTTCTCAACCGCGCTTGCCTCTCTGTCAATCGCTGGCAACAGGTCTGATAGCTTTCTGTTGAATTATAATTTTGAGCAAAGCCTGAACGAAATTTCCTGTCACAGAGAAGATAGGTACATTGTCTCATCTAAGCTTGTGCATATGATGTGACGCAGACCAGGCGTCACTTATCTTTGCAGATGCAACCAAACCAACAACGTATACAAGTAATATTGCTCCGCGAAAAGAGGTATCACATCAGCCAAAGAACAAATAAAACTACATTAAAGCATTAGGGAAGGCGTTCAATCGTGCGGTATAGAGACACAAGGGGGCTGGCAAACAGGAAACCAGTATAAAGGGAGAAGACGCCCAACACTCCACCACGCATCACGCGCGCTGTATAGGTTGCGGATACGGATCGTACCATGAGTCGTTCGCTGCCCCCTCTCTCCGTCCTTCTGATGAGCCGGTAGCAGTGGTGCTGAAGTTATCGGCGAATGGGTTGTGCACCTGAAAGTCCTCCGACCGATACTCCGACCGTCCCGTGCCGTTATTCGTCGGGGGTGGAATCCCGCTAGGGCTTGATGTCGCCAAGGGCATTGCTGGTGGTATAAAGGGGTTCTGCGTATCTCGTGGAGGCACTGGTGGGGGGATAGCACTAGAAGCACCTGATGGTGTGGTCTCCGGCGGCGAGGGTGACTGGCTACCCGATTGCCCTAAGGCTCGACGCGCGTTAAGAAGAGCACGTTGGTGCCTAGATAGCGACATGGAAAGCTCATCATTCGCTTCAATCAAGGTCAGGAGAGTATCCTCGTCGGGTGGAGGGTTCGTCGAGTGGATGTAGTGCTGGATGGTGTGTGATGCCGACCGACATCGGTCAGAGAACTCCTTGATAAGCTCGTTCTCCGCCATCTCTGCGGGAGGCGTCGACTGAACGAACTGTACGAGCAGTTTTGCCGATGTCTTAGCTTCAGTGACACGAGCAGCGAGTTCATCCGGGGGTGGCAAGGTTCCGGCCTGGCGTGGGCCAAAATAATCGGGACGAGGCTGTTGCGGTTGCGGTGAAGTCTGGGATGAAACCTGGGACCTCCAAGTACTCTAATGAAAGAAACCGTTAGTGCTGTCGCACCAAGGTACACATCAGGCATCGTATGGATACATACTCCACTATTAGTCCTCTTGAGCTTGGTCTTTTCCCTTGTCCACATCTGCAGAAGTGGAGCAAGATCCTCATCCCATCCACGCTGCATCTCCAAAGCATCCAGAGTCTGTCGGAGGAAACCTTGCACATTCGAGTCCCTCGTCTGGCGCAGGAGGTCTTTCACCGTTGCGACAAATTTGGCATCGATGTTCCGTGTAAAAGTATGACCAGGGTTATCGACGAGTATGCGGATCAGCATGATCGCATTGTACTGTACATTGGCCGGAGTTGACGCTGGGTCGGACAACAACTTGCGAATGCGATGCGCTGCTTCCCTGGCGGCATTGGGGCTGGACTCCGCACTTTCTACAATAGCGGGCAGATGGACGAACTCGTTTCCTTGCTGTATATATATATCTCTCGTCAGCTTTTGTTTGAGTCAATATGGTCGGATTGGAAGCGAACGATGCGCGGAGGGGGACGTACGGTATCGCTTGGCGGTGCCTCGCAAAATGCAGTCTAGAACATCAACACAAGTTAGTCTAACTTTCCCACGGGAAACGCGAAAAGGTACACGGGATTGGGAAACGGACCACTTCTCTCAGTATAATACCCTCGGGAGAATCCTGAGCGTATGACGACGGACCTTCCGGTGTTGGGCCTGTTCTAATGAGCAACTGATTGGACGTTGAGGGATGAGTTGCGATACATACCGGACCGCTTGCTGAAGGAGGTCAGAATGCGCTTCATGATTGTGAACCAAACCAAACCAAGGCGCTGGAGATGGTGATACGATAGATGATGAATAAAACAGAATGAAAGCCGCCAAACACCGACACAGCAAGGAAAGTAGGAAGAACACAAAGGTAAGCACGAGGGTTTGATGGGGTAGCATCAATAGATAAAACAGGAGGTCTACTAGTCTAGTGTAGGCTTAGTGTTGGTTTTTAGACCACTGAAGGCAGAAACCCGGTCACTACCTAACTCAGGTTGTCACCTGGAGAAAAGGGTTGTGTTCGGTGACACGCAAGCACTGGTCTGTCCACTTGGGACGATCCATATGCCACGGTCATGGCATAGGTTACTGGGTTGAGGTTGTGCGGAGATTCTCCATTTGTTGATGCCTGGGACTGGAGGACGATCCCGCTGCTGCGTCATTCCCCCAACAGGTTCATACGTATGCATATCGATTTTAAAGATCTTACGCCAGTCACCTTCCTCATCACTACACCCGTGACAGAGGAAATCCAATCGCCAATGCCGACTATCTCGGAGCCATACCGAATGATGGTTATCTTGAGGGCCTGTGGCTGGCAAGACGTTGCATCGCCACTCTTGGCTTCAATCAGGCATCGCTCAATATATATACTTTCCGTACAGCAAAGTGATCACCGCCAATTGGGAACCTATGAGTGGAGTATACTGCACGAAAAAAAGGCTTCTTGGCTTCACCTTCCGATGACTAGAATAATGTCCCTACACCATAAATGCTCTTTTATACGCACTACTAGACTACTGAACTCATTACGGTCAAACGTACGTATCCAGCACCCGACGGCAAACAGAGACGCATGTATGGCTGTTCTAGTACAAGCAAGATCATGGGCATTTCTCCCGAACCTCATTAATATAGATTTCCGTATCCCATTCGTGAAACAAAGCTCAACAGTATCCTGAAGTATGAGAATAAAATGTCCGATCCAGCCTGTACCTAGCCAAGCATCCATTTATTGCAAGGCACCATGGGTTGTCTGCAAAGCCAGGGGACTATTGAAACAAATGATCCCTTTCCCCGAGAAATCACATAGTGATCGTGAGATATTCGGGGTATGATCAACGCTTAAGGAGATATTCATGACAAGAGGGAAGAACTGATGCTTCCACCCATATATTTCGAAGGGTTGTTCAGTTTGTAGAAATTTCTTTTGTATTCCTTCCGTGAAAAGGTATTTGTTCCGTACAACAGAAAACTCCGGCTTTCCCATTCATTTTCCGACTACCTCACCCCCCGACACCCATGAACCGCTTATGCCTGGATGGCACGGCGGACCTGGAGGCCACGCTGACGAGAGGAGAGATGAGCATCCTTGACAACGGGACCCTTCTGGACAACCTCCTCAGCCTCAGTAAGGATGAGCTCGATGTGGCAAGGGTTGGTCATGTAGGGGTTGATCTAAGCCTCAAGTCAGCAAAAGGAATCAGCCAGAGATATGGTGGGAAACATACACGACCGTGGGCACGGTAGGTGCGTCTGCGGCCCTTGGGGGCCTGGTTGACCTGGATGTGCTTGACAACAAGGTTGCCAGTGTCAAGACCCTTGGTGTCGGCGTTGGCCTCAGCGTTCTTCAGGAGGTCGATGAGGAACTTGGCGGACTTCTCGGGCCAGCGAGCCTTGCTGACACCGAACTGCTTGCCTGTAGAACTTTGTTAGCGAACGTCCTGCGTACGTCTCTCGCCAAACATCATAGTCCAATTCCCAACACACGCCACCCGAGCCACTCCAGTAGCCAGAATTCCTTCTCTCTTGCTCCGTATCTTCTTGTACATATCCAATCATTCCAAAAACCACACCGGACCATAATCCACCTCATGTAAGAAATATCAGCCACTCACCCTGAGCGCAACGGCCGGTGCTGCCAGCGAACCTCCGCATGGGGACAGCCTCAAGCTTGTTGGTAACGTTGTCAAGGAAAGTAAGAGCACGCTGGAGCTTCATGCCGTTGATGGCCTGAGCGGTCTCACGGGTGTTCTTGAAGCTGACGCGCAGGTAAGAGCCCCGGGCGCGGGCGCTCTTAGTGGCCGGAATGTCCTGAGCAGCGTAACGGACCTGAAAGACGAAAAAAATCCTGCATCAGCAAAGCCATATTCCTCTATCTCGAAACGCAATTGATGGTGGCTGGAGTGGGTATGGTGATGGCAGAGTCGAAATATCGGGATAGGCCACAGAGCCTAATCTTGGGATTGACAGGATCGAACATGTTCGGTGCAAAGATGTCTCTTCCTCTGGTGATTTTTCTCCATTCTCTTCTCGCCCTCCCGATCAATCGAATCCAAAAACTCCAAATAAAGCACTCACCATCTTGATGTGGTTGCCGAGCGGGGTGGTCCTCGATGTCGGGTGAGAAGTTTTGTCGCTTTTCTTTCGGTCGGCCGCTGGAACTTCGAGATCGCAAGTCTCGTTGTGGTGCGCTTTTTCGCTCTTGGCATTTCCTAGGGTTAACCCTTTAGCGAGCTCAAAGCGGACTAGGGCCGCTGCTGGTAAGGAAAGCCCACACCGCCCGGCAGTACCACTCACTACGGACAGGGCCGCAGGCCAAGTCTCGGCCTTCCGGAGACTGATTCACCAAGTTAAAAGACACTTACATCTTCAACAACGCTACCGAGCACTCATTTTACCTTAAGGGAGATTGTATTGGATCCTGATAGCTAAAATTGACCATGGCATAACTCTTTAAATTTTTATTCTATAAATTATATCTTATCTAATCTCAAACCTACATCTAGAACACATTCTTCTGTTCTGGGACTAACGTGATCATCTTTCCCTTCTCTACCGCCGAGCGCAAGTTGTTCAGCACCAACAACTCCATATCCTTCTGTGTCTCATATGTCATGGTTCCAATGTGTGGCAACAGCATCACCTTGGGGTTATTCACCAAACCCTGCTCTATAACCGGTTCATTCTCATAGACGTCCAAGCCAGCCGACAAGACCTATCCAATATTAGATATCTTTAACAAATGAAAACAAGAAACGCTCCACTCACCTTTCCGGAATCCAAAGCAGCGACCAGCGCCTTTTCGTCAATCAGCGCACCACGAGCGGTGTTAACAATGACAATGCCGTCCTTCATCTTCTGGAACTCCTTCTCGCCAATAATATGACGGGTAGAGGCATTAAGAGCCAGGTTCAAACTAAGGACATCCGAGCTAGCTAGCAATTCATCAAACGACACGTATGTAGCGTCTCCCTCGAGCTCGGGCGACAATCGGGACCGGTTGTGATACTGGATCTTCATTCCGAAGGCCTTTGCGCGGTTGGCCATTTCCTGGGTCAAGTCAGTTCATGCTCCGGCGCAATCAAAGCGTTCTCATCAGGTCCTTACCCTGCCGATGCCTCCCATTCCGAGGATTCCTAGCACCTTTCCTTGGGGATCACGGCCCAATGTAGCCTGGCCCTGCCACTGGCCTGTAGTCCGACTGTCAGCTACGTCACATTGTTTCAATTCCTTTCACACGGAGTAGGTACTTACCAGCCCGGAGAGCAGACAACGGCACGTAGGCCTGTCGCAAGGCACCGATCATCAAGAAGATACCTACATCAGCTGTAGCATGGTTAACAGCGACGGGTGTGCTGGACACGGCGATTCCTATATCGATCATTAACTCATCAATCGTTCATTCACATGTAGAAATAAAAGGTCTACATACCTTTCTCGGTGCACCCCTTGACATCAATATTGTCATACCCGGCACCATTGTGACAAATATACTTCAACGACTTGGGAAGAACAGCAAGTAACTCTGCATTAAAGGGACCCGTAAACTATGCGCGACTTAGCATGCGCTTGCGTTCTGATCTTAAACCATCACTATACCTTTGTAGAAGTATTGGAGCGATAAATGACCAGAACATCATCATATTGACCCTCTTTGCAATTGCGGATAAAATCCTCTCTGGTACCGTTGGGGAATTCCTATATAATAACCCATCTAAATCAGCTGAGTTCGGTCATACTTCCCACCGAATAACTCTTACCTTGAGCGTCAGAATGGATGACAGCTCCTCCCACTCCTTGCGGGCATGAGTGATGTCGCCGATCAACAGTGCGGTAGGCATGATGTCAGCGTTGGAGCAAACGTGGGGTTTTGGTTTCCTAGGCTGTAGAAGTAGAAGGGGTATACGGAGAGGAAGAAGGAGGAAAGATGGAAGAAGAAGAAAAGTAGACAAGAGGAGGAGGAATTCCAATTACTGATCTTTTAAGAATATTCCAGTCTTAATTATGTTCCACTGGTTGCTTGATTGATTGATTGTTGCCCCCCAATTCCGGTTGGCGTGGGGTGGCACTTTGTCTGGATGTATTACCGTTATCATATCGGTATGGGATGTATTGGGGTATATGCAGGTGCAGTTTCATTGTAGGCTTTTCTACTACATGCTGCTCTATGAATGACTTTGAATGCTACTTGGGAGTCATGAAAAGGTAACCACATCTGGCTTTGACTATATCTCAAGCACCATGTGAAACTCTCGGAAATCTTCGAAATATACAACCTGTATTACACGTACGTATCCCATGATTGCACGTCGGCTATTGAGAGCCCGGTTCAATAACCGACGCGGAGGAAATCCGTTCAACCCCACGCTGGGGCGGAGTCAATGGCCGACAAGAAAGTCATGCTGTGCATATAATAGCATTGTCAAAATGACCGGCCTTCGCTCAACTCCATTTCCAATTCCAATACACCGAAAACACAAAAATGGCTACCGTTACTGATACCGGTGCCTGCCAGGCACTCGTCCTACACGGCGCAAAGGACCTCCGAATGGTAATAGAAACCCCAAACTTCAACTAAGTAAAACTATACCTAATGTTGTCACTAGGGAACGAAGCCTGTTACTGCCCCCACCGGATCCGAAGTCCAAGTCGCCATCCGCGCTACTGGTCTCTGCGGATCAGACCTTCACTACTACAATCACGGCCGTAATGGCGACTTCGTTGTTCGCGAGCCCTTCTGCCTGGGCCATGAGTCCTCTGGCGTCGTAACCGCCGTCGGACCGGAAGCCACCACCCTGCAAGTTGGCGACCGGGTCGCGCTTGAAGTTGGTCTGCCCTGCCGCAAGTGTGTCCTCTGCAAACAAGGCCGCTACAACATCTGCCCCGAAATGAAATTCCGGAGCAGTGCCAAAATCTTCCCCCATCTCGACGGCACCCTCATGGAACTCACCAACCACCCAGCCGAAATGTGCCACAAACTCCCCGACTCAGTGTCCTTCGCCGGAGGCGCTCTTGTCGAGCCCCTGGCCGTCTGTCTACATGCCGTCCGGCGCTCGCATCCCCCATCCAAGGAGGAGGTGCAACTGGCCGAGTCGCTGGGTGACCAGTCCGCTGCTTTGATCTTTGGCGCTGGCGCCATCGGTCTACTTTTGGCTGGTGCGCTTGCAACAGCTGAGAACTTCTCGAACATTGTCGTGGCAGATATCGACCCGGCACGCTTGGCAATCGCCGAGTCGCTTAACCTCGGTCTCAAGACTGCCCTCATCCCCAAGGCGGACCCTGCAAACCCGCCTCCGGCTAAGGATGCCCCTCACGCCGAACAAACTGCCTATGCCTTGCAAAACGCCCAGCGTGTCGCTGCTACCCTGAAGGAGACTATTGGCCTGGCCTCTGGTTTCTCTCGTATCTATGAATGCACGGGTGTACCTGCCTGTGTGCAGGCAGGTATATACGCCGCTGCTCCAGGTTCGGTTCTGGTGCAGATTGGTATGGGAAACCCCATTCAGACTCTTCCTGTGGGTGCGGCAGCTCTGCGGGAGGTTGATGTTATCGGTGTTTTCCGGTACGATGGGCACGCCTACCCCGCTGCCATCGCATTGGTAGCAAGCGGCAAGTTCAACCGGGTTGAGGAGCTCGTTGTCACCCATCGGTTGCCATTAGAACAGGGAGAGAGGGCATTTGCATTGGCCGGAAAGGGCGTTGATGAGACTGGACGACCTGTCGTGAAGGTCGTCATTGAGAGCTAGGATCTTTTGGTCCCTTTTTATCCTTTATTATTTTTTGATTAATACCCGAGGTTTGGCTTGAGAGGTTGGTGTGGTTTTTGTGGGGATAGAAAACTTATGAGATACCATGAAGAAACGGTGTATAGTAGATGAAATCCATCATGACAGAACTAGAGTGAGAGTATGGAGGAGCGTATACGTATCGGCATCCTGGTGATGTTTGGGGGGAAAATTCATTTTCAACATACAATAGAGGCACACAACTTGACACAGAGTATAAGCTCTGCAGAGTATAAACTTCAATTTAACTGACACATCGTAGGTTTCATAACTGGGTGTATGATATAATATATACTATTTCAAGCCTCCCCCAAGCAACAGACTTTGACCAGTCATATAACCAGTCGTCACAAGCATCGTCACCACGTTGGCGACTTCATCTGGAAGGCCTAGTCGGCCCAAAGGGATGCCTGCGGCAACCTCAGGAATGGCAGCGGCGCTGGGTATCATACCGGTTTCACCGATCATGGCAGGCGCAACATCGTTGACGCTAATGTTGTATTCAGCTAGTCTGGTGGAAAGATTCTTCATCATACCCGTCATTCCACCTTTCGAAGCGGCGTAATCTGTGCGCAAGTTAGTGAACGTGGGAAACATCATTCTGAGGGAGAGTGATTACATACGACATCCATTAATCCCACCTCCCTGGCCGGCAATTGAGGACATGAATACTATCCGACCCCATCGCTGACTCTTCATGTGCTCCACCACGCCCTTCACCAAGATGAATGAAGCACGTAGGTTCACATTGATTGTATAATCGAATTCTTCGAGGGGAATGTCCCATATCTGTGGGATACGCTTGCCGTATCCAGCATTGGAGACTAAGATGTCCGGTCGCTTACTATGTTGTTGGTCGATCTCCTCAAACATACGTTGAATTTCGTCTGCCGAAGACACATCCACCTTATGGACTGAGATCCGGAGATTGTAGCTGTCTGAGTGTTTGGATTTGAGTTCTTCAGCGAGTGCAGTTGTCGAAGACACATTCGTGGAATACGTCAAGGCAAGATGGACGCCTTTGGCAGCCAGCTGGCGAGCACAAGCTGCCCCAATCCTGAAAAATACTGAGTTAGACCGGTAATGGCCCGTCGTAAGTTGGTCTAGACTACCTACCCTCCAGAGGCTCCAGTAATCAGGGCCAATCGGCCAGTGATGTCATTTTGTCGCTCCATGGTGTTAACGATGCCCAAATATGTGTCTCCTGGCTTCGGAAGGAAATAGTACAAGTATGACAGGAAGAGGTAATGCGGAGCTCCTCCCGCGCATAATATTCCAGCGGGTCGGAGAATAGTCCGAGAGGGACACTGCGATCGGCTTCTGATCAAAACCCCACATTCTCATCAGCCCCGCACCAGTAACGTGGGGGGACAATGACAGTACGTTCCGTTTTGGTTCCGATCTTCTATTTGGCTGACTGGCTTTTTCTCAATAATGAGAGAATGACTTTCTGTTCCAGTCCCGGATAACCATGACTCAGACAACTAGAATAGGAGATTGGTCATATCTCCAGGCCAATTTGGCTGCCAGGCTTGTGCACGGTCTTGCCCTGTCTGATACGGATCGGGGTTCTGGAATGAATCGAACGCCAATGTGTTCGCTCCGGGTAATTGGTCTCCCGAGACGTAATCCCCAACTGCTTCAAGATCCAGCCACGAGAAATCGTTCGCAGGGCTGAATTGCATATAGTTACTTTGCTCAGGCAAGCGATGGGGTATAGCGTTACTTTGTACCTGGAAATCACTGCTCTGATGTGTTCCAGCCGGGGAGGCAATTGTCGCAGCCTTGGGCTTCCACAGCAGTTCCAGAAGCCGGGAATAACGTGAGCCAATATCATCCAGTCCAGCACTTGCTCGTTTCAGTACGTCGGTTGTTCGTGTGACCAGATCGCGCACTTTTGTTTCCTCGCTACTTGGCATAACTCCAAACGATCGAGCCTTGAACTCGAATTAGCCCTGAGACAAGTTCCAAATGGAAGCAAAACAACCGTACCTTATATAGAAAAACAGCTGCATAAATTCCGTAGAGATAGAATCTGAGCGGCATAAAGTGAAGATGTTTCTCTGGGTGCACCAAGTCAACAAGGATTGTTAAGTAAGCCTTAGCGGCATCTACGGATTCATAGATAAACCTGGCATCTTGCATCGATGCCACATCCTTGAATGTTGATCTCAGATGTTCCCTCTGTGACTGATCGTTCTTTAACTTCGACACCATTGATTGAGAGATTGCAGCCTGAAATGCGAAAGCATTAGTGTATAGCCTCAGATATTCGTATGAGAGTTGTAAAGTAGCTTGTATTGGCGTAGAACCTATAATATGTCAGTGTTGATTAGTTCGCCTGGGTCAGTGAAACCCTCAACTTACATGGCAATGAGCCCCAGAGTGACTTCCATCGCAAAATCGCGAGACGAAAATCATCCACGTATTTTACATAGTCCCCCATAAGCATCATTTGGTTGCTTGTCCGCATGCCAGAGTAAAGAACGTCATGAACATTCCCATAAAGTTGTGTTAAATCCAAAGTCGCCTGGAAGATTCTCGCGTAATCTTCATCTCCATCTTTGATGGGCTGTAAAGAAGGGAAATCTTGACTGACAAGGCCTGTCATTGGACCCGGTCCACGGGACCAGAAAGCTCGTCCGATACGGACAGATATTAACCGATCCGAAATGTAGCAGCTGGTCCATGCTAGCCTTCTGCGGGCCTCCGTCTCCGTATCCCCCGAGGGATCACCTCGGAAGGAGGTCCGATCCAAGCCTAGGAAATAGCCTGACCGTAAGGCTAGACCAACATGCATCCATGCAGCTCGATCCTCCTCACCACGACCAACGCGCTCGATACGGGGACGAAGACCCTGTGGTTCCCATTCAGCAAGTAGGAGAAGGGCCTCCACAGCCTCTACATCGCAGTCGGCACCAGCAGCTATCCCTGAAATTAATTCGTGCATATATTTCGAGCAATATTCATGGATCTCTGGTCGTTCGACTAAATCCTTCGATGCGATTGTAAGTACCGCAGTGAGCAGATGTTTCTCATTTGTGGCGAAGGAATCCAGCGCACCGCGGTTAAAGTATTTCCGCGGCACCAAAGGGAGATACGGATGGAAATTTTCGGCGTATCGAACCACCAACTGCCATACTGTTCCCGGGTCCAAGGACCGTGATTGCACGAGTCTGTAAGCCTTGATGCCACTGTTCGGTTGGAAGTCGGTTACAGTGCCATTCTGGAGAGTACTGAAGGAGAAGGTGCTGTGGGTTGTGCGCAGAGAATCAGTGTTCGTTTCAGGGGTAGGACCGTCATCACCTCTTTTGGCAATGCCTGTGAGACACTGCCAAGCATCAGATGGATTCCGTGGGACCGACCCAATGGATGCCGTATCTTCATCATCTACCGATATTGACGTCGCCGCTGGGGGCTCAGGCGGCACAAAAACAACCGGACCGGGGTATGAGGTATTTGTGGACTGGCGATTGTCAGAAGCGGTTGAGCTGATCGATTCAACAACAGATTCCTGTCGGCCGGAAAGGGTTGTTTCTGGGGTGAAGTTCTTCATTTTGTTCTTGCGGATACGGCGACCTCCACGGTTTGAACTCCCCAGAATGCATTCGCGGCCATCTCGGAGACACCGCTTGCAAGGTGGTACTCCAGGATTGCCGTTACTATCTCTGTAGCTGTTGATTAGCTCAGGAGAAGGAAATGCCGACTAAATAAAGCTAGTGACAAGAAGTACCACAACTTCTCAATCCGTGAACTTACAAATCGCATTTCGATTTTCGCTGCCTGCAATGCAAACAGGCTCTCGACACGCGCTTCATCAAATGGTCCGAGCGAGATTTCGGCCGCGTCGCCGGTGTGCTTTCCGGCTGCGAGGACCGCTCTTCCTGTTCCATTTTTGCCCTTGAGAGGAACAGAAAGAAATGTTGGATGAGGAAGAGGGCGGAGAGAAAGCTGTCCGATACAAAATTAGAGGTAACACGTCAGAAGTGACATTTTCATGGACGCAGTGTTAAAGGCAGGTTTTGACAACGCGTTAAAGCTCGTAAATAGAGCCCAGGTGCTACTCCAAGTAAACCAAGCAAGAAGCCAATTGAGACCGACTCAGGTTGAAATAAACTGTAAGATAGCGATTGGAAAATAGCTCCGCTGTTCTGGAGATCGACCGGCAAATTGTTATTATCTTTGGGGTAATCTTGGAGGCGCTCGTGCTTTCCCCACACTGAAGGTTTTTTTTTGGAATTGAAAATCCGTACTATGCAGAATGCATGGAATAAAGTATTACCTCCCAGTCCTGTATTCTAAATTGTCGAGTCAACGGCCAAGGTTGATCGGGATGTGTTCAATGCATGCATCGCTAACAACTTGGAGTTGCTAGTGACCCACGGTTAAAGCTACCTACCGTTGCAGGTGTTTTAATACTTGGTTCCATACATACATACATCTGTATTATAGTTTGGACAGTATTAAATGTCTAAGAAGCAACATCCCCTGATGAACTTCCTTCATAGACTAACCTGAGAAGGTTTGAAGTTATCTAGACGAAGGCGATCATGAAATGCTTATTTTATCGTCTGTTCACTCATTCTCTTCATCCAAAATCCTTGAAATTGTTTCCACATTCCTATTTGGCAACGTATTATATAGGCTATATAGTTCATGTGAGATTCAGAAGTAAATCTAGGTGACTTGGTCTCTCTTGAAGGATCTCAGGAAGCAATTATAGTCAACCAATTCTTCTAGAGTCTCAACGACCATGAGATAGTTTACCTCCCACCAGAGATCTATTCAATCCCTGTCGTCCATTGGGCTTTTGCTACGTGTTACCTTGTCTTTGACTGTAGAATACGCCGGAGTTTTGATATCTCTCATGGAGACTCGTGATATGCTAGCTGCCACATCCTAGGGGCTTTCACTGAATGGATATTACAATAGTTGACAGAGGATTATCGCCACCCCTGAAGCCTATCTATAGTGGGTTATGGTAAATCACAATCAAGATCAAGTGTACCACATGGTCCCGTGACGGTAATCATACGTAGCACGTGCTTTCTGGATGCTTGGCAAGGAAGGTTCAATTACCGACTGCGGGGATTCGGCGTTTGATCATCGTTCCGGCAATAGGAATATCCGTTTCGGGTAATGTCTCTATTGCCCCGCACGTGGGGGGACATTTATTATGAGTGGAAGAATCATCGCAATGACAACAAGAAGATAAAAATAAGACTCTTTTATTGATTCCCAGGTGCAATCTTGATTCACAGCACTTGAAGAAGAGCGAGAGCTAAAGGCGAAAAGCGGATCTCAACCTTATATCTTGGACTCTACTTGATACCGCAGCAATCACAATGTCGGCTTCACTCTTTTCGCTGAGCGGAAAGACCGCTATCGTCACAGGAGGAACAAGAGGAATTGGACAGGCAATGGCTTTTGCGCTTGCAGAGGCTGGCGCTGATATCGTGCTGATTCAGGTTGGTGTTCCCTGTGATTATTTGACGCCGTATGACAGGCCACATTAGTTACATAGGATGCTGACATAGGAGTGATATCAGAGAGACGAATCTAACACTTCCACCCGTGATGAGATCATTAACCACATTGGCCGGAAAGCCTGGATTCATGTAGCGGAGTTATCTAGTCGGGATGCAATTAAAGGGGTCATTCCGGCGTTAACTAGCCAAGGCCTGAAACCGGAGATTCTGCTAAATTGTGCCGGAATCCAAAGAAGGCATCCAAGCGAGCAATTCCCAGATGAGGACTGGGATGAGGTGAGCTTACCCCTTTTCTACACGGACCAGATGGTTTAGTTCCTTCCTGCCGGATGAAAAAGCTAATGGCGGTTGCTGGTTACGTAGGTGATCCAAGTGAATCTGACATCAGTATTTACACTATGCCGTGAATTTGGCGCCTATCTGTTGGCGCGAGATGCATCTGAGTTCCCGACTGGTCGTCGTGGATCGATTATCAATGTTGCTTCCCTCCTGTCGTTCCAGGGCGGCATCACTGTCCCTGCCTATGCAGCTTCCAAGGGAGGTATTTCCCAATTGACCAAGGCACTCTCGAATGAGTGGGTCGCCAAGGGCATTAACGTGAACGCTATCGCGCCCGGATACATTGCAACGGATATGAACACGGCTCTGATCAATGATTCGAATCGTAACGCAGGTATTATGGCCAG